GGGCTCAAGACCACCAGGACCAATTATAAGTCCTTCTGGCCTCAACATCTGTCCAATCCCAGGACACACGCCTGTGGGTCACTTAGCCAGCTCACTTTGCCTGCTGGCCGCTGTGGCTCCCTGCAGCTGCTGGTTACAGCCTTGGAGCATCTACAACGGAAGTTGGCAAACTGTGGCCCACAGGCCACATTTGGCTAGTAGTCTGTTTTGGTGCAGTGAATGTGAAATGGGTTTTACATTTTTTAAGGGCTGTAAAATCAAAGAAGAATATGCAACAGAGACTGTATATGGCCTGCCGAGTATAAAGATAGCTACTACCTGACCCTTTACAAAAAAAGTGTGCCCACCACTGTATAAAAGGTCCCCAGGACCACCTCCTTTGGAGTTTCCACGTGGCCCTGGGAGGCTACTCACCTCGGCCTGCCTTAGAGGGGCCACGATGCTGGAAGGGGTGCTCTGAACTGGCTGAGGAGGGGGGTCCGTGGGGAGAGAAGGGGACCAGGGCCCAGACCAGGCTGACAGTCTGAGGGCGGAGGCTGGTGCATAGGCCCCAGCTGGCGTGGCTCACAGAGATCTCAGTAATATGGACCCTTCCAACCCACAACCTCAAAGACCCTCAGAGACCCTCTGTTCAACACTCACAGTGTGCAGATGGGGAAACTGAGGCCCAGAGAGGCAAAGGCGTGCTCAGGGCAAATGTGCAGATTCCAAGCCCAGGGCGGTTGCTCCTACTTTCCCTGTCACATTTTGGAAGGCTTCCCACCCTGCTCAGCCCAGTACTATGGGTCATTTCCTTGGCTTATTTGTTCTTTCAGTCGACATTAATGAAGGGCTGGTAACTTGACGCTCCAGCACTGGGGTGCAGAGGTGGAAAGGCAGCAGGAGAGGAGGTGGCCTGCGCAGAAAATATAGTCGGTGGTCACGATGCTCTGGGGTTCCACGCCGGACAGCAATGCTTGGGGGAGGGGGCTCGCTTCTAGAAGAGGGAACAGAGGTCATTGTCTTGGCTGTGTCAGAGAGGCGCTAAGAACTGCACATCTGCCCTGGGGTTGGCTGTGAGGAGGCATGGCAGGAAGCAAGGCTGGAAACAGGGTCACGCTCAGGGCTTGGGGGTCGGTCAGAAGACTGCTGCAACGTATCTTTTAAACAGGGCAATGGTCAGCTGGATTTGTGTTTTAGGAAACCCCCTCTGGTTCCCGCCCGGAGAAGGGATGGGAAGAGGGCCGGAAGCTGTTGCAGTCGATTGAGGAAACGGAGGGAAATCCATGATGTTCCTGGTGAGGGATGCGAAGGAGGGATGTCTTCCTGGTCCATAAACCAATTGTGAGTGGGCTTTTCTTGAGCTGCTCATTTGCTTTTTAACTTTAAACTTTTAAACTTGTGTAAGGAAGCAGGCTCTCCTTTCCATCAGTTGTGGATTCTAAGCCAGGTCCATGGACTGACAGGGGGCTATGGATAGAATTGCTACTGACCTCTAACTGACGGTAATTTCTTCAGTTATGCAGGAGGCAAAACAAAATCAAAGCCTACTCTGTTATTAGCAGTGGCTGTAACTTCGTCACATATATTTTTATGTTGTACTGCAGTCATCGTAGATTTCTTGAAATGTATTTTATGCCCATCAGTATTTCAAAATTCCAGTAGTTATTAGACCCATTGTCATTAGATCTTGTGATTTAATGTGTTAGTAAGGTAGTGTGTGGTGTGTGGGGGGTGTGTGTGTGTGTGTGTGATAAATTCGATTTTTGATAGTTTGATAACTGTGTTTTAATATGATTGGTTTCCTTTGTAATTCTTGCAGTTTATTCTCGGCATTTAAAGACTTTATTCCAAGAAGGGGTCCACAGTAAAAGTCTATCCCCCTCCCCTCAAATCCCCCACCCTGGTTTGCAGTTCATCCACCTGCAGCCCACACAGGCGTTCAATGTGCAGCTTCTCTTCTGGAAGCTTCTTCTTCTTTTTTTTTTTTTTTTTTTTTTTTTTACGCGGGCCTCTCACTGTCGTGGCCTCTCCCGTTGCGGAGCACAGGCTCCGGACGCGCAGGCTCAGCGGCCATGGCTCACGGGCCCAGCCGCTCCGCGGCATGTGGGATCTTCCCGGACCAGGGCACGAACCCGTGTCCCCTGCATCTGCAGGCGGACTCTCAACCACTGCGCCACCAGGGAAGCCCCCTGGAAGCTTCTTGAGGCAGAGGTGGTGCCCACTTATTCGCTTCTGTGGCATCTGGCCTAGCTAGAAGTGCGTGTTTAATTCCTGTGTGTTTCACTGACTTGGAATGAAGTGGTTTGGTAGCACAGGCCAAGAGGCCCTGGTCTCTTGAACTCTGCCGGCAGCTTCACCAAGCTGACAGTTAGTGGTCCCCCATCCGAGGTTAGAAGCCCCCATCTGAGGCTGATCCGTGGGTCTGAGGTCCACCCGAGTCCCGCCCCACCCTGCCGGACCCCTAGTGTTCCATTTGAGTAACTTGGGGTCTCCAAACCATCACACCTCCTGGGCCCTGGGCATTTCCAACTGCAAGAAGGGTTCTCCAAACCTCGCTGCCTCTGGGTGTTTAGAGCATCCACCCCCCTCCGCATCCTGTCATCTGAAACCCTGGGAGCTAGTTTCGGCTCCTCCCATTCATCGCTTTGTAAAAAATAAAAGCTGAGCTTTTGGAAGCCAATCAAGTCACACACTAGACGAGAGATTAAAGCCACAATGAACCAATTTAAATGCCTGCGCATTCTAGCAGTGCTTTTCAAAGGAAGCATTCAAAGGCAGGGAGTGGCTGCAGGGAACGTATTAAGTTGTTAGAAAAGCATCAAAACATCTCCGGAAGAAAATTGGGAGACTGAGCTCTGAGGACCGAGGTCCCAGAGGGAAGCCCACCCTGGGTCGCCCACTCCCTTCCCCTCGCTGGTGGCGTCCTTCCGCTCTCCCAGCGTGCATCGCGCAATCCCATGGCAGAGCTGCCTGTGCAGGGGTAGAGGTGAAGGGCGGGATGCCCGCGTTCCCAGTCAACGCCTGTTGTACGACCAACTGATGATTGAGAAAAAAGGGCCAACAGACACTTCAGCCAATGTTAAGAAGTTATTTGGATTTTTTTAATTTTAAAGTAACGATTGCCCTTTCTGGAAAATTCACAAAGTGCCTAAGAGGAAAAATAGGGAAACAGAAAAACTTCCAACTGTGATTCCACCAACCAGACAATGGTCCTTAACCACATGGCCTCCAAAGACACGGTGCCAGGAAAAGAGAGGCCTGAGGTCACGTGGGATGCTTCTTCAGCCACTTGCCCACACCCCTCTCTCCGACTCATCACATGGGCATTGGTTTTTGTTTGTTTGTTTGGACTACTTCACGTGGCTTGCGGGATCTTAGTTCCATGACCAGGGATCAAACCCATGCCCCCTGCAATGGAAGTGCGGAGTCCTAACCACTGGACCGCCAGTGAAGTCCCTACATGGGCATCGTAATGGCGAGATTTCCCAGCCTTTTTCTACGAGCATGTTTTTTTTGTGGTTGTTTTGTTTTGTTTTTATTAGCTGTAGAGCCGGGGCTACTAAGTATAAATTTTGTTGCATTTTTGGATATTATCATTAGAGCCTAAGTATTCTCCATCACAAATTCATTTCAAGCCTACTTTTTATTGGCTGCATAATATTCTTTTTTTTATTGCGGTACGCGGGCCTCTCACTGTCGTGGCCTCTCCCGCTGCGGAGCACAGGCTCCGGACGCGCAGAATCAGCGGCCATGGCTCACGGGCCCAGCCGCTCCGCGGCATGTGGGATCTTCCCGGACCGGGGCACGAACCCGTGTCCCCTGCATCGGCAGGCGGACTCTCAACCACTGCGCCACCAGGGAAGCCCGGCTGCATGATATTCTGAAGTGCAAGTGTGTGATACTTTCCTTAACTAATTTCCTATTGTTGGGCATTTGCGTTGTTCCTAGTTTTGTTTTGTTTTGCCTTTTTAACAAATTCTGGGGTTGGTCTTGGGTGCATGACGCTTTATGGCAACGCTGGGCTATTTCAGCATCAGCAGAGGGTTTACTCTGTGCTAGGCATTGTGGGAGATTGGAGGATAAACTAGACACAATCCTTTCACCTAAGATGCAGATATAAATAACTTTAATCCAAAGTCGGTTATAGTTGCCGTAAGCAGACAACTAGAGCTGAAATACAGAAGAGTTTTTCCTGGGCCTAATGGGATTTTAAGAAAGTTACATGAGAAAATCTGAGACCTTGTATCCTCAGCTAGAAGGTAAGGGAAAGAGAGGAGGGGACAGGATAGCAAAGCGGTTGGTTTAGCTGGGAGACCTATGCCAGGAGGCGGGCATCCCCGAAGGCAGTGGGTCTCAGCTCAGATGCTAGGTCAGTTGATTGTCAGTGGCTGCCAAGAGGTAGGTGGTGCGTAGCTCAGTGGAAACACTTAGGAACATCTGCCAGGGACCCAGGTTTGGTGGAGAAGTAGCCACGAGACACCTGGCTCACCGGGCCATCCCCAACCTGAGCTATTAATTTCAGGTGAGATTCAGGGGCTGGCGTCAGCCTGGCCAATGCCCAAAAACTGTGTTTCTTAGGTTGAGGCTTTTTGATCCATTCAGATCAAGGTTCAGTGTCTGTCACAGACATCTCAGCCTGTGTGTGTTTTAGGATCCACTTTTGGAGGGGTTTCCAGCCAAAAAGACAGGAGAGAGTTGGCCCTGAGTGCCATGCTAGCGTCAGAGGGGAGCAGGGAATCTGAGACAAAGGGAGTCTTTGCCAACCGGGCACCCTGGGCCCGCTCTCCCTGCCCAGCCCCCGGAGAGGCCAGACCTGTTTCCCTTCTCGGCCCATTTCCAGTCCTTTGGCTCTCTGACAAACACGATCGCCTCTGGCTGTTGGCACCGAAGCTGGAGCATCAGGAGGGTGCTGGGGGTGGAGGGCGAGCCCCATTCCCGGGGTCAGGCTCCCCAACCCAGCTCGCCTTCCCCCCGCCCTCCTCACCTGTGTGCCTGACCTTGTGTGGTCCTGTCTTCAGCCCCTGCAGGTGCCATGACCCAGCAGCCGCAGGAGGGCTTCGCCAGGAGCGTGGGGGACGCCCAGGAGTGGATGAAGGCTGTGCAGGAGCGGCTGCAGATCAATGACGACACCCAGGGGCCCCGCGCAGCCCTGGAGGCCAGGCTGCGGGAGACCGAGGTATGCAGAGACCATGGCCTTGATAACCCTGTGGCCTTGGCCCGGTCCCTCCCTCTCAGGCCTCAGGTTTCCCAACTGTTGCATGGCAGAGCGGACTAGACGGGTGTTTCTCAAAGTCTGATGTCTTTGAATCTCCTGGGGTTTAAGTGCAGCTTGTGATCCAGGAGCTGGGGGTGGACCCGAGATGTGACATTTCTGACGTGCTCTCGGTGGCACCTTTGCTGGGGGTCCTAGGATCACACTTTCATTGTAAGGGTCTGACTCTCCCATCCTGGAAGGGGGCACCGTGCAGCGGGATGGTCTCCACCCGCAGGTGGCCCAGGCCCTGCTTCCTGCCCCTTCTCTGCTTCTCTGCAGCTGAGGCCCCTCCCTTGGCTCTTATAGGGCTGGAGTCCAGCTGTACCCTGACCTGGCACAAGGCAGAGGCTCAGTGCTACCCTGACCGGAAGTGCCGATGCCCAGTGCCTGGCCCAGCACTGTGGTGCCCCCAACCTGAGGTCATCTGCTCTGGGCCAGGGGCCAGGGGGAAGAACTCTAAGAGTCAGAGACCTGGGTTGTAGTCTCCACGCTGATCTAAAGTGCTGTGTGACCTCGGCCACATCCCTGTCCCTCTCTGGGCCTCAGTTTCCCATCTGTAAGTAAAGCAGTTGACTTAACGCCTCTCAGGTCATATCCATTGGGATATGCCACAATTCTAATTTATCACCTAACAATGGTTGCTTTATTTAAGGGGAGGCTTACCTCTTCCTGCACAAACTGACCCCCCAACAGGCTAGAAATAGAGCTGACCCCACACCCACTTCCCTGTGTCTTGTCTTTTCTTTCTTTCTCCTTTTTTTTTTTTTTTTTTTTGAGCTGTCTTATTGATTTTGCACATTTTATTGAAAATATCTAATGCTCTTTTTGGAAGTGGACAGTTAAAATTAAGAATCGATATCACCTTTTCAGGGCCAACGGCTTAAGTGTCACCACACAGTATGAAGAAGGACCCAGGGTCTGCATTTTAAAAGTGGGGAAACTGGGTCTGGGAGCGGTCTGGTGACTTGTTCAAGTTGAAAAGGTCTCTGGGGAGGACACTCCACCCTGGAATTCTGGTCTTCTGACTCCTTTTCAAATATGCTTTCTGCTTCCCTACAGCATCGTGTACTTCTGTAAAATCGTGCCTGCGTCAGGGCGCAGGGCGTTGTGGTTTCTCAGGCTTTCTGTTCAGTAGAACAGCTCACTGGACTAGAGACAGGACAGGCCTTGGAGTCTGGAAGTCCTGGGTTCAAATCCCAGCTCTGCTTCCTGCTGGCCCTGTGACCCCGCTGGACCTGTCTTCACTTCCCTTCTAGAATGGGTGAAGCTCATTGTGTCAGGATGCTGACTTTGAGAGGGTGGGTCACAAGCTGCCTTGAGGAGGCGTTTGTTGCTGATGGATGTTAACAGAGAGAAAGCCCTGTACTACCTCTGAGGCTGGATGTAAATGACCTGAGTTGACAGTGACAGTGGCACCCTCTCTATTCCCCCTCCCCCACCCCCAGTCCCCTCCAATGTCTTCTGGCATTTCCTGTCATCCCAGTTGCCCTCAGATTAGTCCTTCCCAGTCCTTCATTGGTCGGACCCCAGAGGATCCGAGACCCTCCACTTTGAGTCACGATTTCCGTCAGCCCCCCCTGTGCCAGGCCTCGAAACCTTGGGATGCCAGGTGATGGTGCCTGGTCCCTGCCCTCAGGGAACTCCTCCCAGGTAGGCACAGAGACTCCCGCTCGTCCCAGTGGGAAAGGTCCCCCATCCCTGCTCGGCCTCCCTCTTGGTGTGGCACCATCCTAGCACGCACCACCCTGGACCACTTGTCCTTTTATAGCAACCATGAAGAGATACTTGATGCAGTTGGTGAGAGCCCTGCCCAGGGGACCATCACGGCAGAAAGGAGGGGTGACCACTCTTGAGTGGCCCAGTCAGAGGCTTCTCAACTGGACGGTGAAGTGAGTGGAGAACCCAGGGTACACGGGGAGCCCCGAGGAGGTCACGTCCCCGGGTCTAGAGGGTCAAGAGAGGCCTCTGGGGACAAGGGTCTTTACTGCTGAGGCTTGAATGAGGCGTTAGCCAGACTCGGGGATCCAGGGGGAGGGGAGGGAAGGGACTCCAGGCAGAGCGAACATAATAGGAAAATCACTGGAGGTGGGCACAGCTGGGGGCACATGTGGGACACCCCCGATGCTGGTGTTGGGACAGCATCAACCATCAGGGAGACGCAGGGGTCCTGGAACAGGGAGCCAAGGAGGACCCCTCCTGTGTAACAGAGCGGGTGAAGGGTTGGAGATTTGGAAGGTCAGGGGCAAGCCTGGTGAGGAGAGGAGTTGACAGCCAAAGCCCCTTCTCTTGTCAGTCTTGGCCTCTGTCATCATCGTCATTATTATTGTCACCAATATTCGTTATCAAAAGATGACTCTGCCCGGCCACTGAGAGAAGGGAGCTGACATTCCTTCAGCAACTATTGTGTGCTCAAGCCTGTGCTATCCGCTTTCATGTTTAGTTTCCCCAAAGCCCTGTGATCGTGGTGTATTGTCCCCACTTTTCAATAGTGAAATGGATCCCTAGACACAGAGATGGGCCAGAATGGAAGGAATGGATCTTGTTAGGGCTTGAACCCAGGGCTGAGTTCAGAGCATCACTGACCCGTCCCCGTGTGGGGTCCTGGGGCGGTGGAAGGGGTGAGGCGCACCCTACGCTCGGGTTCACGGCATCACGGGGACAGGCACACACCTAGTCCTGCAGTCGCACAAGTATGTACGAGGTGCATCCCTAACATGGGTCTCGTGGTTATTCTCCTCCTCTAAAACCTTCTATGGCTCCCCACTGTCTGCGAGAGAAAACCCAGCTTCACCTGGCATCAAACGTCCTCCACTACCTATCTGCCACACCCTCTTCTGCAGCCTCAGCTTCCCCCTCCAGCCGACCTCCCAGGCACACATCCTCTCCCGCTGGCAGAAAACCTCCTAGATTTCCTATCACCAAACCTTTGTGTGTGCTGTTGCCTCTAGTTGGAACGCCCTTTCGTTCGGGTCTGGGTGTGCATGTGAAATGAAACGTCCCCTCGTCCACATGTCTTTCCTAACCCCTTCCCCCAGCCCCAGCCCCAGCTCCTGGCAGCCCTGCACAGCACTTGCTGTCTTAGCGCGCTAATCCCTTTGGACCTTGCACCATTTGCTGACAGCTTATTACCCCCTGGTGGTGGGTCTGGCTTCGTTAGGAGAAGGCTAGGGCGGCCCTTAGGAAGAGCTGTTGGCAAGGCCAAGGTGACCGGGTTCTGGAAGCCGAGGGAGCACTTCCATCAGGTGAGCCCTCAGGGATTTGGCCTGGAGCCTAGGTCAAGGGAGCCGTGTCCTGGGTGCCCCACCACCGTGCTCTCCTACGGGGCTCAGACCCGCTTGTTTTCTGTGTGCTTTGACGTTTCAAAACCAGTTTTGCAATAAGAAAACATTTCACCCTTGTCCTCTGGTGAAAGGAAGCAGCTAGAACCTTCTCCACCTGCTGGCCCGTGGGACCTGCCCTGGGGCTGGGGTCTCCCATGCGATCCCTCCACCAGCTCAGTGACGCATGTCCCAAGCGCCTGCTGGCTAGAGTGACCAGGATATGAGTTCTGATCCAACTCTGAAGCTTAGTAGCTGTGTGGCCAGGAGCGGGTCCCATGCCCTCCTGCCACCTCATTTTCCCAGCTATAAAGTGCAGGAAGAACCCCCGGCAGGGACCGGTCACTGAGAGAAGGCCTCTGGGGACAAGTGACTTCACTGCTGAGGCTTGAATGAGGAGTTACAGGATGGGGGTCCAGGGGGAGGGGAGGGAGGAGCCTGGGGGAGGGGGAGAGCTGGGGTCTGGGGCCTGCAGGCCTGGGTTCACTCCGGCTGTGGCACCTGGGGAGAATTTCCAGTGCCTTCTGAGCTTCAGCTTTACTCCTGGGGAAAGTGCTAGCTGCCACCTTGCAGGAGGGTGGGAAGATTGAGGCCAGTGACTTATTGGTGCACTTGGCAAAGTGCAGGGCACGCTGGCAGAGCCAGTGGAGAAGGTTGTTTCTCGTGGTTTCAATTCAGGGACACCAGCCTGTGGACTCTCCCAGCCCACGCCGGTGCCCGCAGCAGTCTCCCAGGTCGCAGCATCTTGTCTCTTTGCCCTCCTCGGCCCTGCACTTGGGGTCTAGGCCAGGCTGTTTTCTTACTGGTTTCCAAGCCTCTTTATGGTCAGAGACATGCCACATTTCTTAGGACTTGGCTTCCAAAAGCCGGATGCCCTGAACACGCTGTGTTTTCCTAGCTTTGCTGGCTCAAATGTCTGCTCAGCACTGAGGCCTGGTGCCACCGCCACCTCCTCATGAGGCCTTCTTGGTTTGCCCACATCCCTCCTCAGAGCTCCAAGTTTGGGGTCTCTCACAGCTCTTTTACAGTCATCTGTGCTCTTGTCTGGAGACTCCCTTACAGCCTGCAAGCATCGGGCCATGTTTGTTTTCCTCCTGGACTCAGCTCGGCACCCAGCAGAGCACTCAGCATAGTACTCAGCATATTACCCAGGACAGCGCCCATCTGGCCGTGACTGCGTTGAGGGAAAGCCCTGACTCACCACATTCCTCCAGTCTTCCTGAACTGCTTCTCCTCCCTGCTGAGGTTTTCCCTCCACCCAAACCCCGCCTGACTTTTGCCCTCACTGGCTCCCTCGAATCAGAATTGCTTTGTGGCTACAGATCAATGGCCCCCTTCCCAGCTGGCTCGTGTCCCTTGCCAAGCACTCCTGGACTGTGTCCTTGCTGGGGTGGGGCTGTAGAAGAACCACGCACGAGCCGAAGAGCGGAATCATCAGGGCAGAGAAGGAGGGTGGAATCTGCTTCTCGAAGGTTGGCTTTGCCAGCTCAGCTCTAGCCTCTGGTCCCACAGCAGACATGCCTCTGGTCAATGTTTTGGTTTGGGGGCAGGGGTTTCTGCTTCAGGCCAGGTGGGGCTCATGTTCTGCCGGCCTTTGGGACGGGCCAGCTCTTCTCTCTTTGCAGGGAAGCAACAGGCTCACTCCCCTGCAAAGAGCGGTGGGTCCCCCCATCTCCCATGTTCCCCTGGTCCAGCCTGTGCTTCCCTGGCCAGGAATCAGGAGGGCAAAGGTCCAGAGGCCTAGAGGAGGTCACAGAATCAGGACCCTGGACTTTGGGAAGGGGCCCTTGTCCTCACAGGGACTTTCCAGGCTTGGCTGGTTCCTTGTGAGTGTGGCAGAGAGAGACTGAATTTAGTTTCTTCCCCAAGCTGCTGTCTCCCTTCCTTCACGGAGCTGGATTCCGACTGAGGTTAAATTGGGCAGCCCCTGTAGAGGAGGCCTCGCTAACTGCTGGCAGAGAATTGTTCTGCAAAGCTAAGGTTTCTGTGGGTCCCCGGTGCCCCCACTGGTAAAACTGGAATCACCCTGGTGCCCATCTTGCCAGCTTGGGGATTGGGCATGGGGTCTACGCCACAACTCTGGGTGTCAGAGACATCAGATCCTGAATTATTATTTCTTTTTTTTGCGGTACGCAGGCCTCTCACTGTCGTGGCCTCTCCCGTCGTGGAGCACAGGCTCCGGACGCGCAGGTTCAGCGGCCATGGCTCACGGGCCCAGCCGCTCCACGGCACGTGGGATCCTCCCAGACCGGGGCACGAACCCACGTCCCCTGCATCGGCAGGGGGACTCGCAACCACTGCGCCACCAGGGAAGCCCTATTATTATTATATCTAATCAAATTAAATCTCACTGGATGGCAAGAAATTCATCCTCAGCCACGCGGGGGGACCCCTTCTTCTGAGAGGTGTGAAATGTTCTGTTCAGGGGGTGGGTAATCTTACTCAGCCCAGAACATTCCATGGTGGCCCTGGGTCTTTGGTCCACACTCGTCACTGTGGTGCCTTTGTCTGCCACTTTGCTGCCCACTGCTGAGCGGGACTTGGGGTCCCTGCTGGGCGCCTGCTGTTCCCGTTACCTGCTAGGGTCCGGCGAATCCTGCTGCTGGGCCCAGCCCTGAGCCCCAAACCAAAGCTCTTTTCCTCTCTGGGGGAACCTCCCTGCTCTTCACGCTACCTGCTCTACACCCCACTCAGAGCACAGAGACAGCCCTTGTAAGGAGGTTCTTTAACCTCACTCTTTCATAACACGCGTAGGCAGGGAAGTCCCTCTATACCAGGGGTCCCCAAGCCCTGGGCCGGGGACCAGTACCCGTCTGTGGCCTGTTAGGAAACTGGCTGCGTAGCAGGCAAACGAGCGAAGCTTCACCTGCTTCTCCCCATTGCCCACATGACGACCTGACGCACCTCCCACGCTGCCACCACCCGTGGAAAAACTGTCTTCCACGAAACCGGTCCCTGGTGCCCAAAAGGTTGGGGACCGCTGCTCTATACTATCATCGATGTCATCACCATCGTTAACCACTGTCATACGAGGTAACAAAAAAGGACTGGGACCACTGCCCGTTTGCACGTGTTGGGGGAGGGTCTGCGGAACCGCTCAGCGGTTTATAAAGTACGCTAACATATTCATGTTCTAATTAATAGTGTTTTCAAAAAGTAATATTATAACCCTATGAGGTGGACAAAGCAGAGATTGTTATCACCATCTCTGAGTGACTGAGTGACCTGCCTGGGACCACAGAGCTGTCAGTGGGGCAGCCCTGGACACGGCAGGAGCCCCTCCCCGACCCCACCCACAGTGAAGGCTCAGATGGCCAGCCCACTGGGACATCAGTCTAAGAAAAGTGACTGCCAGCCTTAGGGAGACAGGCTGGGGAACAGCTGGAGCTTTAGGCGAACGCTGTGCTGTCAGTAAATGTAATCAGGAGGTAAGCGAAAGGTAGCGGTAACGGTGAACAATTTTGGAGTGATGGGAGGTGCAGTGTGGGCCAGGCCATGCGCTAGTGTATCTCGCAATGTCATTATAACCTTGGGTGGCGTTAACCATTATCTTCCCCCATTTCATAGGCCTGGAGAGTTTAAGTACCATGACAAAGGTCACACAGGTAGTGGAGACTAGCCCTGGAATTGGAGTCTAATCTTATTTTGACTGCAGAGACCCAGCTTTAGTTGCCAAAGAACTAGAATAATAACAGTGAATAAGGACAACAGCTAATGTTACCAGATAACCTACTATTTGCCCGGCGTTGTGTATCAGCCTTGGTCCTCCGAGAAGCCAAGGCCAAGGTGAGGTTAGATATGCAAGACGTTTAATAGGGAACCATCTGTGAGAGAAAGTGGGACGGGAACCCGGGGTGGCTGGGAGGGACACGGTCAGTCCAATGCAGGTCCGACCCTGAGTCTGGGAGAGCAGGGAGAATCTTGGACTGCTGGGTGCTTCTCAGGGAATTTGGCAAGGCCGTGGGGCATCCCGAATTAGTCACCCATCAGAGGAGCCCAGTGTCCTGTAGTAACGGGCCTGCCTTCATGTTCCTGTTTGGTCACTGGTGGGAACAGCTGAGGGAGCGAGGCCTTGGTGCCAACTGCAAACTCAGAGATACTTCCGAGCTTCGGCTGGGGACCTGGGCCAAGCCCACTCCCTGCAGTGGGCCTGAGAGGCAGATTCTCATGGCGCCACACACTGGGACATGCACTTTACATGCATTTTCTCAGTTAATTCTGGAAAAAAAAAAAATCTGAGAGCTGAGTACTACTATACACCCACTTTACAGACAAGAAAACCAAGGCCAGGGAAGTAATGAAACTTTTCTGGGTTCACGCAGCTGGAAACAGGCCCATCGGGGAAGGGAGGGCACTCCTATCATCAGACAGCTCTGGGCGGTTCTTAATCTCCATCGCCGCTCGCTCCCACCCCAGAGCCCTTAGCAGCCTGCCTAAGGTCACAGAAGAAGGGGCAGGGGCTGCGATTCGAACCCCAGCTCCTCTGGTCTCAAAGCCCTGCCTCTTTCCATGTCTTGCCACTGTCTTCCCAAGGCTCTGCCTGTTGGCGTGTTGTCTAACTCCTGGGAACTGGCTTTGTGTCCACAACAGAAAATATGCCAGCTAGAGCCAGAGGGCCGCGTGAAGGTGGACATGGTGCTGCGGGCGGCCGAAGCCCTCCTGGCATGCTGCCATGAGGACCAGAAGCCCGAGATCCTGGCCCGGCTGAGGGACATCAAAGCGCAGTGGGAGGAGACGGTCACCTACATGACCCACTGTCACAGGTAGGGTGGCTGGGTACCTTTCCAGGCCTTTGTCTGCAGCTGCTGCCGACCCTCCGTGCCCACCACCACGCTGGCCTGGGGCCGCTGCCCAAGGGACATTTCTTCGGTCCTGGGATTAGTGGGAACAGGATGCTCTCTTGGGATGTCAGTCAACCCTGCCTGCCTCTTTCTAATTATAATCAAGCTTAATGAGGATAATAGACAGTGGGAGCCCATCGTGTTTTGCCAACAACTAATTCTTGGTAGACTTGTGGCGTGTGCATCCTCCAGCAGAAAGGCCGAATGGCCCCGGTGGGTAAGAAGGCCTGTTGCCTTGCTAGCGCTTTAGCCCAGATTCTCTGCTTGTACCAGGAAGCCAGGTCAGGGGTGGGGGCTTTGCCTGACCTGGGATCGCCTCTTGGCTCTGCTGGTTACTTGCTGTGTGGCCTTGGGAAAGTTACGTGACCTCTGAGCCTCAGGCGCCTCATCTGGACAATGGGTATAGTCAAGTGTTTCTTGAAGGTTTTCAGGAGGATGGCGGGGGATAGCAAATGTCGAGAGCCAGGCACAGCGCTTGGCACACAGGAGGTCCTCAGTGGGCAGGAACTGCCATTATCTTCTCCGTCTTTATGAAACCAGAATGTTGAGTGGACCGGGGGGACTTTACACAGTGTTTTCTGCTTTTCAAACTCTTTCACTTGGAATTCCAAAGGAAGTAGCTTGATGTTGGCTGGACCGATAGGGCCATCTCCACGTTACAGACGGGGAAACTGAGGCGGATGCAGAGGCAGGGTAATGCAGCGAGTTCATGGCACGCCTGGAACCCATGCACGGGCCCCAGCCCTCTGTCACCGCTGAGCGGTGACGAGCCCACAGATCCTATTATACTCTGCAAATTAAGAGACACACTCCCCGTGGCAGTCTTCTCGTGACTGCTGGTGGGCACCCATGTGGTAAGAGCCAGGTGACTGTGTGTGGAGCCCCAACACCAGAGAGAAACAACTGGGGGCATCGTCTTACATCACTAATAGGAATTTGGGGCTAGAATTTGGGGTCCTGGTGGCTAAGGGCATCAGCAGGCTGGGGGTTCTCAGAGCAGGTCTGGAATCTGAGACACCCTGATCATTAGCCCCGTGGAGCTTGTTTCCCAGACGGGAGGGTCTTGTCTATCAGGACCGGGGTGAGGCCCGAGAGGGTGTCCTTGTGCCCCCTCCCACAGCCCCCCAGTACCGGGGAGGGGGCAGCGGCACGGCCTCCCCGCCCATGAGCCTGGTGGGGGGATGCTCATGGCCGTGGCCTCTGCCTACAGCCGTATTGAGTGGGTGTGGCTGCACTGGAGCGAGTACCTGCTGGCCCGGGATGAGTTCTACCGCTGGTTCCAGAAGATGACGGTGGTGCTCGAGCCCCCTGTGGAGCTGCAGCTGGGCCTGAAGGAGAAGCGCTGGCAGCTGAGCCATGCCCAGGTGCTGCTTCAGAACGTGGACAATCAGGCCATGCTCCTGGACCGGCTGCTGGAGGAGGCGGCCTCCCTGTTCAACAGGATCGGGGACCCCAGCGTGGACGAAGACGCGCAGAAGAAGATGAAAGCCGAGTACGACGCGGTGAAGACCAAAGCCCAGGTGGGTGAGGGCAGTGGGCTGTCTTCACCCCTCCATCCGTCACCTGCTCCCATCTACCCGTCCAGCCACTCATTTGCTCCCTCACCATCTATCCATCCAACCATCTACCCACCATCTACTATCCACCCACCCGACACCACTCACCCACCACCATCCACCCATCTCCCCACCCTCCTATCCAACTGTCTACCCACTCACCCATCTATCTCCCCTCTAAACTAACTACTAAATCCCTTATTTACTATCTACCCACTCGCCACTCCATCCACCACCAAATCTCTTATTTACTATCTACCCACTCACCCCTCCATCCACTTACCTACCCATCCACCCATCCATCTCCCCACCCTCCTATCTATTTACTCACTCACCCATCTACCTCTCCACTAACCTAACTAGATCTCCTATTCCTCTCTCCAGCCACTTAATCACCCATCTATTCATTCACCTACTCGTCAACCCACCGATGTACTCTTCACACACCCATGTACTCATCCATCTCTCCACTATCTACTACCCACCGTTCACCCCTTCACCCACTTACCTACTCACTGTCTACTTGCCACCCATCCCTTATCCACTCACCCAAGCATTATATAACTACCTACCTGTCAGTCTTCCACCTACCCATTCACCCACCCCTCCACCATCTATCCACCCATTGACACGTCATCTACTATCTGTACGGCCAGCGTTGCTCATGCCTAATACACATGTGGGGACTTAGTAAGTGTATGTTGACTGACTGACTGATGGACTTTGAGGTTCACTTCCACCCAGCTCCCCTCCCCTCTCCCTCCCTCCTTCCTTCCTTCCCTCCCTCCTCCTGCCCTTTAGTCCTTCTCCTTTGCTTTCCTCCTCTGCTCTCTTTTGTCCTTCCCCCAATTCCTCTGCCCGTTCTTTGTCCCCGTCTCTCACCTCATTCTTGCCTTGTTTTAAACAGTCCATTGAGTTATTAAGTTCAATTTTGTTTCAAGAAATTCTATTTGGTTTTGTATTATATCCGTCATTCATTTTTTTTCTTTCTTTCTTCTTTTTTTTTTTTAAATTTACTTATTTTATTTATTTATTTTTTAGTGCATTGGGTCTTCGTTGCTACACGCAGGCTTTCTCTAGTTGCGGTGAGCGAGGGCTACTCTTCGTTACGGTGTGTGGGCTTCTCATCGCGGTGACTTCTCTTGTTGCGGAGCATGGGCTCTAGACGCGCGGGCTTCAGTAGTTGCAGCACGCGGGCTCAGTAGCTGTGGCTCACGGGCTCTAGAGCGCAGGCTCAGTAGTTGCGGTGCACGGGCTTAGTTGCTCTGCGGCACGTGGGATCTTCCCGTACTAGGGCTCTAACCCGTGTCCCCTGCGTTGGCAGACGGATTCTTAACCACTGCGCCACCAGGGAAGCCCCTCTTTTTTTCATTGTCCTTTTTCTCTTAAACTTGGCACTCCTCTCAGGTACGGATTCTATCTGTAGTCATTTTAATCGTACACATTTTATAATCGTCAGGCTGCTCAAGTAGCTGAAGTTCCTGGCCTGATGCTGCCGTCTGTTGGGTCTCCTGACATGGTGGATCATTTCCTTGGAGACTTCGTAATTCTGAGCTGTGAGCTCATCCTATTTGGGGCCTTATCTGCAGAAGCCCGTGGTTGGGCCTGGCCCTCAGAGAGCCTGTGTTTTCTTCAGCCAGGCTACCATGGGAACTTACCTTCAGGGTTCCTACTGAGTGTCACTGAAATGTTTTGGGGGTTCCTAAATCAAGTGGGTTCTCCGTACTTGAACCCTAAGTCCAAATGATGCAAGAGGCTCCGGGCTCCATACTCTGGAAGGTGACTATCTTTTCATTTGTCTTTTCAACCAGAGCCCAGGCTGAAACACATATGCTTCTGTCTTGTATTGCGCTGGTGGGAAGGTTTTTTCTCTAGTTCACCCTTTGACAGAGGGGGAGTCCCCTGAGTATTCTGCCTTTTTGCCGTGGTCTCTGCCCCCCTGGGCCCAGAGTCTTACCTCCTCCCCCAACCTGAGCATTAAACCCAAGAAGACGTCAAGCACACATGTGGGTTTAGCATCCCGGTTTCCATAGCATCTTTGCATCTGGTCCACGGGATATCTCTTACCTTGGTGTGTGCGGTGTGTGCGTGGTTCTGCATTTAAATGATGCTTGTTACATTTTATCCAGCGTTCCTGGCTGGCTACGGTGGAAGGGTATTCAGCTCTCCCACGTTGCTGGAGGTGGAAGTCTCCTGGGTCCTTCAAGTTATGGGAAATGGTTCTATAATAAGCAGAGATCTGAGAAACTTTGAGTAGGAATAGGACGCTGGCCCCAGAATGCTTGGAAAGGGACCTGGGTTCCAGCCAGGCTCTGCTGCGTCCCAGCTGTGTGGCCTCGGGGTGCTCACCCTACCTGGAGCCAGGGTGTAGGACTGAATGAGTTTGCATGTGAGCTCTTTGAAATTGGCAGGCATTTTCCCAGAATAAAGGATGACTTGTGCTCTCGGTAGCAGTGAGAAGAAATAGCCACAACAAGGGTGTCTGCCACGTATCAGGTGCTCGGAGCCCTTCATTGAATGAATGAGAACCCTGCCCCTGCAGCCGGGAGGCTCGGAGGACAGGCAGGCGGGGTGGAGCTTGGCTCTCAGAGCTGTAGCCAGCTGGCCCTCCCTCACGGCATCCAAGTGTCTAGAGCCTGCTTAACAGCAGGTCTCTCTCCAGGTCTGCCCCACGGGCTCAGGCAGGGGAGGTGCCTGGCCCATGGCCTCCTTGCTGCTGTGACTTTACAAGAAACAGGTGCTTGTGCCGATCAGCAGAGAGTGCCTCGTGCAGGAAATGGAAAGTGGTTGTGTGTGCGTGTGTGTGTGTACACGCGTGTGTGTGGAAGGGGCATGCCTGGGGCACCGGTGAGCACCAATTCTAAGAAATGATCACCTCAGAGATTCTCATCGTCCCTCCAGGGAACCCTCCCCTCACTGGATCCAAAAATTCATAGAAATCACAACTCTTATGGGCGAATGCTATCTTTTCCTAGTCCCTTCATGTCTTTGACCTCATTTGAGCCTCCCGACCTTCTTATGTGGTAAGTAGAGAAGGTGTGACTGGGCCCTTTTTTAAAATTTTGACTTAAAAAATAATCTACAGATAAACAACAAGGTCCTACAGTATAGCACAGAGGACTATATTCAGTAACCTGTGATAAACCACGATGGAAAAGAATACGAAAAAGAATGTCTATATCTATATAACTGAATCACTCTGCTGTATACAGAAGAAATTAACACAACATTGTAAATCAACTATACTTTAATAAAAATAATAATAATCTAAGGGTCAGATACCCCTGGCCCATCAGAAAGAACCGGAAGTCCTAGGCGACTCCCTGTGCGGGGTCCTCCTTTGGTGGTTGCCCCAGGTCCTGGGTGAGGTGCTGCACCTGTGTCCATCAGGGGAGATCAGGGGCTGCCAGAGCTCCTGTGGGTCCAGCTCAGAAAGTGGATGCAGCGGTACATGGGAGGTTTCGAGCCCCTGGATGAGGGAGCAGGTTGTTTCCAAGGGTTTTCCTGAGGCGGAGCCCAGCTGGCAGCATCCTGGGGGCAGGAGCCTGGGGGCTCTGCCTGTGATGGAGGGGTGGGGGGAAGCTGCCGCCCTGGCAGAAGCCCTCCGAGTTGCCAGACGGGCTGGTGAATTTTGACCTCAGTGTGGAGACTGGGGGGTGTGCAGGGTGACTGGACCCTATGAGAGAAGGCAGTTCAGTTTGGCCTTTTGAGCTGTTGGCTGAAGCTCACAGACCCTTGGTTTTCTGCTCCTGGCTGCCAGGGGTTTGGGAGCTGTGTTCTAACTCATAGGGAGCCCGGTTAGCTCTCGGGATGGGGTTGGGGGTAGGGTGGTGAATGGGGAGCTGTTTCTTGTCTCTCCCAGAGCCGGCAGTAGAAGATTGAAAGGCGGTATGAGGGAGAGGCCAGGGCAGGCCCCTACAGAGCCTCTGAAGTTATACTCAAACTGTCATGTGAATGTGCATTTTATTGGTGAGAACAATCATAGCTTCCAGATGATGCCATGACCTTCAGAAGACAGAAGCTACTGAGAGGGGCAAACTTCTATATCACCCTTAGCAAGGGTCCTCTTCAGTGAAGTAGGATATAGCTTCCCCAACGTCAGCCTCCCGGGGCATACCCCATACTGGGCCTTCCAACCCCAGACGAAAGGAAGACACTCTGGCTCCACCCTAAGCAGGGTGAGGGACACTGCATGTCCAGTAGCCCTCAGAGATTCTTTGTAGCTCGGATGCCTCCTGGTCCCCTGCTCTGTACATTTGATGAAGGTCTCACCTTGCACTAAAGTCAGACGAGAAAGCCACCCTGAGGCAGGCAACTGAAATCCTCCCACCCCAGTGAAGAGTAGGAGAGCCATGCAGGGATCCCTAGAGGTCCAGGCCTATTCTCAGGGTGGGAAGGGTCCCTGGGATATTGTCTTAGTCTGCTCGGGTTGACAGAACAGAATACCATAGACTTGGTGGCTTAAAAAACAGGAATTTGTTTCTCACAGTTCTGGAGGCTGGGAAGTTCGAACTCTAGGTGTCAGCAGATTTGGTTCCTGGTGAGGGGCCTCTTCTTGGCTTGAAGATGGTGGCCTTCTTGCTGTGTCTTCACACGCTGGAGAGGGAGGGTCAGCAAGCTCTCTGGTGTCTGTTCTTATAGGGGCGCTCATCCATTCGTGAGGGCCCCACCCTCATGACCTCATATAACCCTGATCACCTCCCAAAGGCCCTGCCCCCAAACACCATCACATTGAGGGCTAGGGCTTCATCGTGTGAATTTGGGGAGGATGCATCTCAGGCCATAGGAGATACTGTATGTATTAATATCTCAACTTTCACCGAGGAGAGCCCATTTCATTATTTCTTGTGCTGGTTAACAAGCCACTACTTTTGCCTCTAAAAATCCAGTTTCGACTTCCAATATGTTAATTAGCAAGGCCTCTGGTGTTGATAGGGACAGGACCACAGAAGCACAGCGGGAGTCACCTCTGGACTGTATCCTTCGTGACCACCCCCTGAAGGGAGATTCTTGATCAGGAGAAGTGGCCAAGCCCCGGAATGAGCAATGACACAGCCAGCAGAAAGCAACTGAAAGTCGAGAATAGACAAAGCAGGCTGGTTGCCCATAGGCGGGGCCTGCTTGTTTACTTTGCCTGATGGCTTTTAATCCAATGATTCTGTTTTCTGAAGGGCCAGGCAGATAGTAGCACCCTCCTCCTCCCTGCTTCCCTCTGTGGCTCTGTTTGTTTGGCATCTCCGCCAGGAATCAGAGCCCTTCCCGCAGCCCTTTGCAGAGGCACAAATCCACTCCCGCCCTTGTTAATTGGTTGGGTTTTGACATTCCTGACAACTCTGCCCACACAGATGGTTTGATTGTTTGGTGTAACGAGAGGAGGTGGAACCCTCTCCCATTTGTCACCCACCTTCCTCCGAAGTGCCCTGCCCGGCCGTGGCTGAACTGTGTTCTGTGATCTCCTTATGCCTGGCACAGAGCGCGGCTGGACGCCTGCCCCGCTCGGCCGCGTTCCTCTGCTAGCGCGCCTGCTCACCATCACAGAGGCTTTTATTTACTCTGGATCTCCCCCAGTGCCAGCACCTCATTCTTCACACACACAGAGCCGCCAGCCGGCACTTTTATTGGAGAGTTTGCCGCACTACAACCTTTATCACCATCAGTGTCAACCAGGGGCCCAGCCCCTATTCTCTGCTTAGTATTCTTGACCCACTTTGTTTCGTAAATGAATCTTCTCGCGGATGGAGGAAGCTCGGGGAGGATTCTGGTGGATGCAAATAACCCTGCGGGGACGGGGAGCAGCAGGGGAAACGTGAAGGAGGTGGTCACTGGGCCTTGGTCCACTTTCTGAATTCAAGCAGCCCCGTGTTTCCCATCTGTCAAGCGCTGAGCCTCACTCCCATAAGTGAGAGGATTCTCAGCGCTTCACTGAAGGACTTGATCTTGTGCCTTGGTTTCCCCGTCTCTGAAATGGGGATATTTTCCCCTACTTGCCATGGGTGTTGCAAAGGTTTAAACGAATTAGTGTTTCTAGGTTTGGTGAGGGGCTTCTCCACGGGAGGGGAAGGCACATACAAATAGCCAGGGAGGTTTTTCAAATCCACGTGTCCGTCTACCCTTCCCAGTTGAGAATGGTTGGCTTAGCCTCGTAGAAGGTCAGGACCCTCCTGAACATGGCCTGGCTCCATGGCTGAGAGCTGAGGTCAGCAAACCACTGCCCACACCACTGTTCAATCCAGCCCAATTCCTGACTTTTTTATGACCTGTAAACCAAAAATAGTTTTTATATTTTTCAATGGTTGGGGGAAAATCAAAAGCAGAATATTTCATGACATGTGAAAATGATAGGAAATTCAAATTTCAGTGTCCATGATTCATTTGATTGGAATACAACCATTCTTTATGTGTTTGCCTGTGGCTGCAACTTGTGTGCTACAATGTAAGTAGCACACAAGTGGTTGAGAAGTTGCAGTGGAAACCACATGGCAGGCAAAGCCCAGAATATCTACCATCTGCGAGAAAGAGAGATTCTGCCACCCCCTGGGCCTGAGCAGTGATTTTGGAGTCTGAACTTGGCGTTTAAATCTTGTCTGCAAGAGTTATGTTACCTCCCAACACCCATTTGGATACTTGCATAATGGGACAGTTTGGGGATCCTTGTGAAGATATTAAATACGATAATGCTGGTCTATTTCCAGGTACATAGTAGGTGCTTATTAAATGAAGGTCCCCTGGTTCCTTTTTCTTGGCTCTCCTTGGAGAGATCCCTCCACCGGCACACACCCCACACTTAGTTACATCTGACCACTCAGGAAGCACTTAGCCTCAGAGCCTGCCCTGAGCGGGACCAGGGAGATGAAATCAACCCCTGTGTCCTTAGGGAGCGCTTGGTCCCCACCAGATGACAATTCGGTAGACAAGGCTGGGGGAGAGCCACAGCCTGGGGCAGTGGGCAAAGCCTCAGAGCAGGTGGGGCCTGGAGATTAGCATTGCCACGTGGGCACCCCTCACTTGGTTGGGTGTGACAAGAGCAGAGGGACACAGGTGACTACAAACAATGGCTCAGAGTTCTCAAGCTCTTACTAGCTGCCCGGTGCTCTTCTGGGGTTGTGCGAGCCCTGACTCATTTAATGCCACACCACCCTGATGAGGCAGTTACTGTTATCAACCACACCATACGGAGGGGTTAATTACAAGCTCGAGGGGGGCCAGGGTCAAGCCCCAGGCAGTGGGCTCCCAAGCCCAGGATCTTGACCGCTGGTCTGCAGAGCTGCATCGTGGGGTCCTGCCCTTGACCACCAGGCTACAATGCTTGGACCTGGGCCTGGGGGCAGTGGGGAGCAGTGGAGGGGTTTAAAGGGACGGTGCTGTAATCAGGGGTGTGTTTTGAAAATCAGAATCTCTAGGCACACAGTAGGTCTTATAGCAGGACACTGTTATCTCCCCAAATGTCACCCACCCTTAGGACACCATCTTGCCCCGTGTGGTTAGAGCTTCAGTGGGATTGTCTGAAAATAGAGGCAATTCCAACACATGTAGGCAAATCACCACACTCAGGGGGAAATGGGGGGCAGCCTGCTGTTTACTCTCATACCCCGTGGACATAATCGCAATGGAGCAGAGATGCGTTGGCCCAGCCTTGCCTCCCAGGTTGGAATCTTGGTGCTTTCCTAGCCAGGTGACCTTGGGCAAGTCATTTCACTTTCTGTGCCTTGGTTTCCCCATCTATCAGACTGGGATAATAATGGTACCACCTTATGGGGGCAGTCAGGAGCATTCAGTGAGATGATCTTGTACACAAAGTTCTTAGGGCAGCGCCGGCACCTTGGTAAGTGCTCAAATGGTAGTGTTATGTAGTTGTTACCACGGCCCCATCTTGAGTGCCATTCCTAGGACGTGGCAGGAAAAAAAGCCCACTGTGTGGTTGACAAGCCCAGTGCTGGCATGTTGTGGTCTCCAAAGCCAAGAATTTCTTGACTGATCGCTGATGAGGTAGAGAAGAATGTCCGGGATCTTTGTGTCCAGCGAAAGGGCTGAGGGTCAGTTGCGTCCCACGCTCCCCCCCCCCCCCACACACACACAGATTCAGGCCTAGGAGGCCAGGCGAGGGGCAGGCCGGTGACTCTCCTCCCCTCCCACAGAACAGAGTGGACCTGCTGGAGCAGGTGACCCAGGAGCATGAACATTTCCAGCTGAGCGTGGACGAGTTCCAGCTGTGGCTGAAGGCGGTGGTGGAGCGGGTGCACGGCTGCATGGGGCGCAAGTGCCGGCTGAGCACCAAGGACCGTCTCTCGGCGCTGCAGGTAACCAACCCCCGCTGCAGGTAACCAACCCCCGGCAAGTCTGCCAGAGGGGAGGGGGCGCTCATGGCTGGCGGGTCTCTGTTAGAGTTTATTTAATAGGATGGGGCTGGGAGCCAGAGTGGGGAGGGAGCGCTCATGGCTGGCGGGTCTCTGTTAGAGTTTATTTAATAGGATGGGGCTGGGAGGTCCCAGGAGATACAAACATCCCTGTACACAGACCCCACAAGAGGAGAAGCATGGGATGTGGTGTAGATCCCATGCTTGGGGCCTTGGCTGCTTTATGGAAATCTCTGAGCCAGCAGGGCATTTGGAAACCCAAGGCCGCAGCAGCATGGTCTAGACCAGCTGGGCTCAAATGGGGGACATTGTCCATGTCTGGAGACATTTTTGGTTGTCACAACTGGGAGTGGAGGTGCTCCTGCCATCTAGTGGATGGAGGCCAGAGATGCTGCTAAACACCCTACAGTGCACAGGACAGCCCCCGACAACAAAGCGTTATCTGACCTCACATGTCAGTATGTGAAGGTGAGGAACCCTGGCGTAAGCATCTAACCTGCAGGAGGAGCTGGGTCCACTCTGGGCTTCCTGACTTGCTGTGATCCTGAACGAGCTTCCAACTCCCTCTGTAAAGTGAGTGGGTAGATTATCTTCAATAATTCAAGGACCACTTTATAATTTTTGACACAGCTCTACGGCACCTATACCATTTATTTAATATTTGTATTTAAATTGACTCTCTTTTGAAAAAACCAATGAACAGTGACCACAAAAATCTTCTATGGCTTGTGCAGTTTCCCCACTATCTGAAAGTAGTGTTCCTGTGGAACTGTTCATGAGCCGAAATGGTGTGTAGCAGAGAAGTGGGACTTCCCTGGCGGTCCAGTGGTTAAGGTTCTGTGCTGCCTCTGCGGGGGGTGCGGGTTCGATCCCTGGTTGGGGAACTAAGATCCCACATGCCGCGCAGCACGGCCACAAAATTAAAAAGAAAAACAAACAAACAGAAAACAAGCGGAGAAGTAATTACCTTTTCTCGCAAAAGCTAAAATCCTCTTTGGATTTCTTTCAGGTAGCGAAAACAGGTACTAATGTAGGTCTTTTGTAAAAGCAAAGTGATATACACTGTTGCGGCCTCTCCCGTTGCGGAGCACAGGCTCCAGACGCGCAGGCTCAGCGGCCATGGCTCACGGGCCCAGCTGCTCCGCAGCACGTGGGATCCTCCCGGACCGGGGCACGAACCCGCGTCCCCTGCATCGGCAGGCGGACTCTCAACCACTGCGCCACCAGGGAAGCCCTAAATTGAACTTTTGAAAAGTGTGGGTATCTGTAAAAGAATGTTCACAGCAACCTTATTCATAACAGCCCTAAGCTGAAAACAACTCAGATTTTTATCAGCAGAGTATTGGATAAACATGTCATAGAATAGAATATATGTACAAAGACATATTAGTCAATGAAAAGGAATGAAGTTCTGATATACCTGACAGCATAGAAGAATCTAAAAAACATTATGCTGAGTGAAAGAAGCCAGTTTCAAAAAATAACATATTCTATGATTTCAAATAGATGAAGTTCTAGAATCTTCTGGGATGTTAGAAATGCTATATTTTGATAACAGTGTGGACTGCATGGGCATATATATTTCTCAAAACTCTTTGAACAGTAACACTTAAGATCTATATATAGATTTTCTCAACTTACAGTAGGGCTACGTCCCAATAAACCCATCGTAAGTTGAAAATATCGTAAGTCGAAAGTGCATTTCATACACCTAACCTACCAAACATCATAGCTTAGTCCAGCCCACCTGAAGCGTGCTCAGATCATATTCCATTAGCCTAAAATCATCTAGCACAAAGGCTGTTTTATAATAAAGTGTTGAATACCTCATGTAATTTATTGAATACCATAGTGAAAGCGAAAACTATGTTGGTTTACATTCACTGCCGCTGCCCAGCATCACGAGAGCATCGTGCTGCATATCACTAGTCTGGGAAAAGATCAGAATTCAAAATGCAAAGTACAGTTTCCACTGAATGCATATTGCTCTCATACCATCGTAAAAAAGATCATAAGTTGAACCATTTTAAGTCAAGGACAGTCTGTACTGTACTCCATGTAAGTTGTACTTCACTAAAAAAGTGAAAAAAATATTTTGCAGGTATTTTAAATAAAACAGACAAAAGTGTTTACCAAATTTTTTTTTAATATTAGAAGGCAATGAACACTGATTTAAAAAGAAATTTTATATCATTGTCATAAATGGAATACCAATACTCATTCATAATTGGTAGATAGCCATACAAATAGATGTAATGAGGCCAAATGGCGTCGCTAGGTTCTATTTGCTCCATACTTTTGCCAGCTGAAGGCTTCGAGCCTGAGGCTGCCTCCGTCTCTGTTAAAAAAGCAAGATTAACAAATGTCAGAGAGTGTTAAAGACAGAGAAGTACCCAACAGAGACTTTCCCCTTCACTTAATCACATGGCTTGTAAATGACATGGTAAAGGAATCACATCCTGAATGTTATAAAGGCAGACAGTGTACCCCTTGGAAAGGTGCCTTGGGTCTAGCCTGGGAATAGGAATTACCGTTGGGCATGACGCTCCCAGCGGTCCTGGGAAATGCAGCACGTGTTTTCTTTTTCCCCTCGGGTTTCTTTCCCACCGCCTCCCTGCTTTAGGACATCGCCAGCGACTTTCCCAGGGGCGAGGAGTCTTTGCGGAGGCTGGAGGAGCAGGCCGGGGGCGTCATCCAGAGCAGCTCCCCTCTGGGTGCAGAGAAGATCGCCAGAGAACTGGAGGAGATGCGGAATGTTCTGGAGAAGCTGCGTGCACTCTGGGAGGGGGAGGAGGGGCGGCTGCGGGGCCTGCTCTGGTCCAGGGAAGCCTACGAGCAGCAGAGGAGGCAGCTGGAGGCCGAGCTGGCAGAGTTCAGGAAGGGCCTTCAGAGGCTGGCGGAGGAGGACCTGGAACCCGCGGCCAAAGCAGGGACCCAGGACGAGCTGGTGGCCCGCTGGAGACTCTACTCGGTAAGCAGTGTTTGGCAAAGCCACGGCCCAGTCCGGGTGCCGTGTGTGCCTCGGGGCATCCTCTGTGCAGTGGGAGGATCACGCTAAGTCTCGAGCACACTGGCTCTGGTCTTCCTGGATTTTTGATAATCTCAGTGCCCCGAGCATAGTAGACAAATTGGTTGTTTGTACCTGTTTTCTGGTTGGCGGGTAAATAAGAGGTGGACCGGCTCCAAGTTTGCCATTCGCTTGCCTGATGGTAGGATGTGGTGAGCACTTTCTGAGCACAAAGCAGGGAGTGTGAGGTCAGAGGCAAGGCTCTCAGTGTAGAGAAGATGAGGAACAAACATAACCAGGGCTCTTAGGAGGCCCAGCGGATGACGCCCATCCTGGGGAGGGTGGGGGCACTCCAACCCAGACACGGTGTCCAATCGGAGCACCCTCCCCCTTCCCCACCCGTGTGCACACTGCGAGAGGTTTGACGTGAGGACAGAGAGATTTTTCAAATAAGGATTAACGCCCTTCTGCAGTCCTTTATTTACTATATTAACTCAGAGGGCTAGCTTGTCAATTCCATCAGGGGAAAGATCTAAAAGGAAAGCCCCCAGGTCCTACCTCCACTCCAGATTGTTCTGTTTTTTCCCCTCTTCTTTCTAATGTTTGCTCATATGCAGAAATATTTGTGTGTAGGTAGAAACAAAGCATCCATGCTCTTTAACATCACTCAGCCTTGTAGGAGACCAGGTTCACTGCAATGATCAACTTTGTACAAAGGGAGTTGTTTCCCTTGTAGGATTGTCTGCCTTGGCACAGGGTAGGGGTGGTGTGGTGCGGTGGTGAAGGGCGGGGACTTTCAGATCAGACTGCCCGGGTTCGAGTCTTGGTTCCTCTCCTTGCCGACTGGTTGGCTTTGGAAGAATTACTTTTTTTTTTTTTTTTGGCCACACCGCTCGGCTTGCAGGATCCCAGTTCCCCCAACCACGGATTGAACCCCAGCCCTCGTTGGTGAAAGCGCGGAGTCCTAACCACTGGACCGCCAGGGAATTCCTGGGGAGAATTCATTTAATCTCAGTTAAATGTGACATGGACGTGATGATAATAAGACCTGCCTTCCGCATTCCTTATGAACCCGTGAAAACAAAAGTGCTCAGAACAGCACCTGCCAATAGCATCGGGACTCAGGGAACATACGGCTCTTAGCAGGAGTTCTAGGTGAGGGCCAAGGTCAAAGCAAGGAAACTGGCAGGGATGGAGTTTGGGGAGGGTAAGGCCTGGAAAGCCCTGCCAACACTCCCGTGTCCCGACAGCCGCCACCTGGCCATGCCCGGCTATGTTTCAGGAAGCCTTTCCCGAGGCAGGAGGCAGACCACATCCCTACAGGTGCGGCCTGTCCCACCCGGTTCAAGTGTCAATTATGACCAAGATATGACTAACCGGAAATCAGTGAAGGGGAATTTCAGAACTTGTTCGAAGATTTCTGTTCTTAAACTAGCGTTTATGTAGTGAGAAATGCTCCTGCCCTGTACTCGGTGCCTTGTCAAGCGGGGGTGGCCCCGTTTTACCCCCGAGGGACCAGGACCGATCCAAGGCTGCGCAGCTGGGAAGGGCTGGAGGTGGGTTTCCAGGCCAGCCTGTGTCCTGCCAGAGCCCGTGCGCTTTCCACTCCCCCACCCTGCCTCCTACTGAGCATGGGTGTCAGAGCCTACTGAGCCAGAGTCAAGGTCAGGATCAAACTCCACATTTCCCTGGATAGCAGGAAAAGGCCGCATCCGAAGTACCTGAACGTGGCTGAGTGGAGTGGTCGGGCATGCTGGGTGGAAATATCCTCTTGCCGACAATAACTGGGTTCACAGAGCATCTTCAGGTCATTGTTTCCTTCAGTGCTGAAGGGGCAGGTTAAGGGCCAGAGGGCCCTGCTCCTATGTCAGGTCCACTATTTCCCAGCTCTGCAACTGTCAGAAAACTCTTGGCCAGAGTTTCCTTGTGTATAAAACAGGGACACGGAGAATTACTGTCTAGGACCATGGCGAGGCTTCAATGAACGGGACCACAGGGCACTCAGCACGTCGTCACTGTTCCCTAAGTATTAGTTATTTGTATGATTAGGTGCTAGTCGATGGCAAGGCTGTGAGGTAGGTGATGATAAAGAGAAAAACCTGCTCATCAAGAGCAAACATGGGGCTTCCCTGGTGGCGCAGTGGTTGAGAATCCGCCTGCCGATGCAGGGGACATGGGTTCGTGCCCCGGTCCGGGAAGATCCCACATGCCGCGGAACGGCTGGGCCCGTGAGCCATGGCCGCTGGGCCTGTGCGTCCGGAGCCTGTGCTCCGTGACGGGAGAGGCCACAACAGTGAGAGGCCCGCGTACCGCAAAAAAAAAAAAGAGCAAACGTGTTTGGGGTCACGGAGCGGGAGAGCAAGGGAGAGCAGGGGCTGAGCTCTCGGGGCCCCTGTCCCTCCCCTGGGGGACCGTTTTCCCCCAGGCTGGCCCACTTCCACAGGATATGCTCACCCCGGTGCACACACACCGCCATCCCATCTCGGAAGCTCACCTGTCCCGTCGGGTGTTGTCTGTTGCTGCAGGCCACGCGGGCGGCGCTGGCCGCGGAGGAGCCTCGGGTGGACCGGCTGCAGGCCCGGCTGAAGGAGCTCATCGTGTTCCCCGAGGACCCGCAGCCCCTCGCGGGCAGCGTGGTCTCTGCCATCCAGGAGCACCAGAGGTACCGGGCGGGCCGAGGGTGGTCCTGGACCTCATGCTCAGGGCCTCTGCCCATCTGACACCAGCTGCAGAGGGGGCTTGCACCCTCTTGCTCCCTGATAACAAATAGTTCTTGTTCTTATCAACGACTGGCCATTATAGGGTCTCACTGGGCTCAGGTACTGACCCCTTTTCGAAGTATTTTCCATTCTGCTCCCAGAAAGAGGCCTGAACTTTGCTTTTTTCCGTGCTATGTGGCCTCTTCACTTATTTCCATCAAGTCTCCTTATGCAGCTTTGCACGGGGGATGGGTCCGCTATGTAATGGCCGAAGGGGAGGGCTTTTCACTAGGCCAGCATTGTGCCCCACTTCCTGACGGCTGTGCTGATGTAAGCGCTGGACCTGACTTCAGACCAGCCCCTACCTCCCTGTCCGCTCATGGGTTTGGGCGCGGCTAGGTCTCCAGCTTTTTAGCCCAGCAAAGACCAGCAGTTCAAATACCCACCCTGTGTGGAGCTGGGCACAGTGTAAATTCAGAATCGGTACCTGTTTTTACTGCATGAGGCTCAGAGGTGTTTGGAACACAGCCCAGCTGTCCCTGCCCCTGTAGCACTTCTCATCCTCCTGCCTCTGATGCAGGGGTTTTCCTCGAGAAGGAACTCAGGGACCTCCTGCCTTGCCAGGTGGCTCTCACCCCACGGTGTGCACAGGCCCTACATGTGTACACCCAGAACAAGGGCCTGGATCCTCCACAAGATGCTGGGGTGGTGGTGAGACTGAATCTCCTGTGCATAAAGTGGGCCGTGGGAGAGGGTGGCCGAGGTCTCCCTCCCCTTCGTTGCTCCTGTGGAGGTGGTAGGTGCTGGTTATCTATGACTGGGTGCTAGACATTATATCTGTACATATATATATGTATTTTTTTTGGAAATGTAGTTGATTTACAACGTTTTGTTCGTTTCAGGTGTATAGCGAAGTGATGCAGTTATACATATATATCGTTTCTTTTTCAGATTCTTTTCCATTATAGGTTATTACAAGTTATGGAATATAGTTCCCTGTGCTATACAATGGACAGTATATTGGAAAAATTATTTGTAGAAATTATTTGGGCCTCAAGTAATGGCATCCTACTCAAGAAAGTATTCTGTTTTGCTTCCGCGAGGTGCCTGGGGGCAGGCGGTACCAGCCTGGGGGCCCCATAATTCCTCTTCCAGGCTTGACTCTTTCTCTGGTCCAGAAGCTGGCATGCAAGTCTATTTGAGGACTGGCTTACCTCCAGTGCCCTTTTATCTGGACACCATAGGCCTCAGGGTCCCGTGGACAGCCCAGTAGTCCGTAGGAGAGGAGAGTGCCCGCCCTGGAAGCAGCACAAGCCGGGCGCTCTGGGTTCTGGGCAGCGGCCTTGCTCCTATACTGACCCGCTCTCTCCTCTCTCGGTTCCCCCTCCACGGTGCTCACAGCATGAAAGCCAAGAGCAGCAGACTGCGTAATGCCGCGGGCGTGGACCTGTGGCGGCATTTCCAGCGGCCCCTGCAGGAGCTGCAGCTGTGGAGGGCTCTGGCCCAGAGGATCGTGGACGTCACCGCCAGCCTGCCGGACCCGCCCTCCATCCACACCTTCCTGCCACAGATTGAGGTCCACATGGCTCTGTCGGGAGGGCTGATGGGTGCAGCTGGGGGAGGCCACCAGCCAAGCTTAGCATTTCAGCCGACCCCGCAGGGACAGTCGTGTCTCTGGGTCCTCCAGATGTCTGGGTGGAGCCCACTGTACCCTGTCTGGTGAGTTCTAAGTGCACAGGAAATGTCAACACTTGTAGTTATCAGCGACAAAAGTCACCGTCAGTTCTTGGGAAGGAGGTGAAGCCTGGTGCCTGGTGTGGCTCCAGGACTCTGCACGGATCTGCGCTCAGCCCTTCTCTTTAGGACCCTGCTGCAGGCAGTCCTCAGGTGGAAGCCTGAGCAGTGCTGAGAAACAGCAGGGTGTCAGGCCATTACCTTTATTGTGTGTCAGTTGGACTGCATGTGACAAGTGACAGGAAACCTGATCAGTGGTGGCTTAAAACACAGAGACGGGACTTCCCTGGTGGTGCAGTGGTTAAGAATCCGCCTGCCAACGCAGGGGACATGGGTTAGAGCCCCGCTCCGGGAAGATCCCACATGCCACAGAGCAACTAAGCCCGTGCGCCACAACTACTGAGCCTGCGCTCTAGAGCCCGCGAGCCACAACTACTGAGCCCATGCGCCTAGAGCCCGTGCTCTGCAACAAGAGAGGCCACCGCAATGAGAAACCCGTGCACCGCAACGAAGAGTAGCCCCCGCTCACCTCAACTAGAGAAAGCCCGCGAGCAGCAACGAAGACCCAACGCGGCCCAAAAAATTAAATAATTAAACAAACAAACACGGAGACTTTCAGGTCGTCCCAGAGCTGGCTTGATAGCTCAGCAGTATCTTCCAGGACCCAAGCTCTTTCCAGCTCTAAACCACGTCTGCCTTCATGGCCCCAAGGTGGGTGCCACCACTGCAAGTGTGCATCCTCACTGTGTATTTGAGCTCATGCTGTATGGTTGTATATTCAGATACTTTCAGTTGACACATATGAACTTCTTCTCAGCGGCCTTTAAAATGGTTCAGTAAAGCCGTCACTTGAAATGGCTGCAGAATATTCCCCTTGGGGGCATGTCATTTTTTTTTTTTAAAGTTTCTGCACTTAGATTGTTTAGGTTCTTTCCAGTTTTCACTGCCATAAACAGCATATTTTGATTATCTATGTACATGGATTTTTGTTTCCATTTCTACCATTCTCCTCATTTTACTGATGAGGGACTGGGGCCAGGGAGAAGTTAGGGAGCTTGTTCAAGGTCAGGCTGCTCAAGAGAGCAGAGCTGGGGGCAGAATGGTGGGTTCTAGACTCTTGTCTAATGTTCTTATCCATGTCTTCACTCTGGCTCCTGAAAATAGGTTTGCGAGGCATTCAGAACACTTATTATCATTTGACTGTTGAGAAAAACAAATGTCCCAGAGGGGAAGCCACTTGCTCGATGTGACACAGCCATTAAGTGACAGGGCTGGCTTTGACCCAGACCTGTCTAACTTTCCCCACTGCGTCACAACTATATTTCATCCTGTCCTTCCCACTAAGGCAGAAAGCAAACCGGGACCTCCTTGAAGCAGGAGAGAGGTCCTGTCTTTCTAGAGTATGACCCAGGACTCCCAGTGTGGGAATTTCACGGAGCAGTGGGTTGGAACACTTGGGGCCAGGACTTTGGTTTATTCACGTTTGGACGCTGTTTGCTGGCTGGGAGTATGTCTTTCATCACTCCCACCGGCGCACCTGGGCGGGATGGATTTCACAGACCAGGGCTCAAGCTGCCAGCTCTCTCTTTTCTTGACTCAGCTCCTGCATCTAGCCTCAGAGCAGCCTGTGGATCTGCAAAGCTCCAGCCAAAACCTGGGCGTGGCTGGTGTATTAGTTCCCTGGGGCTGCTGCAACAAAGCACCAAAAACTGGTGGCTTAAAACAACAGAAGTTCATTCTCTCAAAGTTCTGGAAGCTGCAAGTCCAAAGTCAAGGTGTCAGGAGGGCCTTGCTCTTCCCAGTGGCTCTAGGGGAGAATCCTCCTTTACCTCTTCTAGCTTCTGGTATTTGCTGGCAGTCGCTGGTGTTCACTGGCTTGTAGGTCCATCACTCTGATCTCCGTGTCCGTCATCACGTGGCCATCTTCTCCCCATGAGTCTTCTTTTTTTTTTTTTTTCCACCATATCTTTTTTGAAGAATACAATTCAACACGTAACAGTTGGTTAAATAATAATGGCTGAGAAGATCTGTCTTTTATGGTGTGTTCGCTGTGGGTCCTGCAGTATGTTAAACGCTTTCTAGGCAGTTAAGCCTCACGGCAGCCCCGTGACCTAGGGTGAGACTACCCCTAATTTACCGATGAGAAAACCGAGGCTTGGAATTGCCCAAGTTCCCCCAGTTAGTATGGAACCCAAACTCATGACTGCAACTCCCCAGCCTGAAGTCTTAACCCTCATGATATTGTGTCTGAGTCTGGTGAAAAGGGGGTGAAGGTGACTCCCTACAGCTAGAGGCTTGACCTCTGTGTAGCTAATTGCAAACCACACATCTGGGCTGGGGTCTTGGTTCTCCCTCTCCCAGCCCCATGCCCAGCTCAGCATCTCTGTAACATCATCAGATATCAAATGGAAGGACTCTGGCCAGCTGAAGACCAAACCCCTGGCCTCCAGGGCCCCTGTGCCCTCAGAGAAGCAAGAGGTATTTGTCCCCAACAGCTTGTTGATCAGCAGGAGCCTGAAGCGGGGAACAAGGCTTTGGGGGCAGGAAGAGTGCATGTAGGCTGGGAATGTGGTCAGGGGAGGCTTCCTGGAGGAGGTGGGGCCTGGGCTGTGCAGAGTTCAGGCTGCCTGCTTAGGAGCCAGCTGCCCATTACACAGGGCTTCTGAGTCCCCTTTTCCTCCCCACTCTGCCCGGTGAGCTCCTACACATCACGACTTCACTCAGGTGCCACCTCCTCTGGGAAGCCTTCCAGAATTTCCTCTGATCGTGATCCCATAGGCCCTTAGCCCCTTCGAAATGTCCCATACACCAACTGGGGGATGGCCCACTGCTGTCGGTGATAGAGGATCACTGAGTAGAGGATCAGACTGGTTAGTTTGGGGTTCGGCTGCAGTGTGGACGGTCGATTTCGGGGGGCGGCTGGGAGGCAGCAGGCGGTCAGGAGCTTCTGGGGTTCAGGTGAGCACAGTCAGTGGTGGTGGATGGAGAGGGGACGGATTTCCGGAACACGTAGGAGGTAGAATTCTTGCTCAGGCTTTGGTAATAAGATGGATGTGGAGGTGAGAGAGGAGTCAGATTGACCCTGACATTCAGGGCCTCCTACCGCCCTCCTGCCCGCCCGTTTCTCCTTACGTTTGCTGCTTCCTTGGAAACCAGCACCAAGGCCCAGCCTCCTGAGCAGGCACAGCCAGAACAGGTGCGCTCCTGGCCCCATCTCCAGCCTCATCCTGCCCTGCGGCTCACGGAGGCCCTGTCTCCCCTAGGCGGCCCTGGCGGAAAGCTCCCGCCTGAAGGAGGAGCTGACGATGCTGCAGCTGAAGAAAGACCTGCTGGGTGGCATCTTTGGCCAGGAGAGAGCCACGGCCCTGCTGGAGCAGGTGGCAACTTCCGTGAGGGACAGAGACTTACTGCACAACCGGCTTCTGCAGAGAAAGAGCAAACTGCAGGTGAGCCCCGCTGGCGGCCCTCAGCCGTCGACCCGGCCCTCCAGGAAGGGCAGCCCTGCATCCTGACCCCAGCTCTGCCACTGGCCACCACGTGGCCCTGGACATATCGCTTTGTCCCCCACGACCTCAGGCCCCTCATCTATCATCTGGGTAGGATTATGGCGCGATCCTTCTCACCTGTCGGCCTCCCACCTCTGCCCCCAAATTCCCTTCTTCACTGATCAAGTCGAACTGTTTTCTGCAAAGAGCTGGGGACTGTCAGATAAGAAGACGCAGAGAAAAACACTTGTAAACTTTAAACCACTGGAGAGCTGGGAGCTAGTATTATTAGGGCCACTTCTAAACGGCCACACGAAATCAAAGACGTAACATGGGATGCTGTGGCCAGTTTCTTTTAGGTAACAAATGTTTGCTGAGCATCTAATAATGATGATGATGAAAGAGGTGGTCTCTGGGGCACTGACCAGGGGCCTGGCACCTGCTAAGAGCATCACATCCCTGGTCTGATCTAATCCACGGAGCAAACATTTAGCAAACATCTGAGGGTTCGCAGGGCAAGTGGTCTCCGTTGCAGCTTCTCAACTCTGCCGCTGTAGCATGAAAGCAGCTGTAAATGAATGGGTGTGGCTGTGTTCCAATAAAACTTTATTTACAAACACAGGCCCCTGCTGGGACTTGGGGTGTGTGGTAGGAGATGTAGTTTGCCAACCCCTGTTCTAGAGGCAGAACAACTGTTAGGTGAGGACACTACAGTCCTCAAGGAGGGGAGTCAAACACCCTCAAGGGCTCCAGGAAGGCTTCCTGGAGGGGGCGGCGCCTGAGTGAGTACGAGCCAGCCAGGAGGAGGCTGGAGATAGAGCAGCTAGTCTGTGAGTGTCAGGTTGTACCACAGGGAGCCTGAGAAGAAAGCTGATTTGTGTGCTGCCTGTTCTGCCTCCGCAGAGCTCACTCGCTCAACACAAAGATTTCGGAGCTGCTTTTGATCCCCTGCAGAGAAGGCTCTCAGACCTCCAAATCAGGGCCCACGCTGAGAATGGGCTTCAGCGGGACCTTCCTGGGAAACAGGCCCAGCTTTCGAGGTTGCAGGTAAGAGGTCTGTCGGGCCTGAGTCACCTCTACGCAGATACTCAGCTGTGCCTAGAAGCAGCCCCCTGCAGTAACAGTAACCAGCAAAGCAGCGGCCAGCCCGAGCCAGATTTTTAGACCCTCCCTTGAGAACTGACCTTTCATCTCAGATGAATCGCTGCTGATATACCTGATGGTTCCTGGCCTCAGCAAGGCCTTAAGCACCTCCAAATGGCTGATTCTTGAGTCTAACAAAATGATAGGCTGTCCTTTTGCTTACTCCATGGTTCCAAAGTCTAACGTGAATATTTACTTTTAAAGTTGCTTCACTAAGTGTTCCTAATGAGTCCAGAGGCCTTCAGTTAAATAAATGATTTGGGGATTAAGAGTAAATGTTTGAAAACACACTGGACTGTACGTAGGTTGATCATGAATAATTGTTGGCTACATGAGGAGCTTGCCGGTTTTTAAAATGCATGTGAAACAACAATTATCTTTTTAAAACCCAGGCACAGCTCATACATAACTGGGAATGTTCTTTGGAAGGTATTAAAAATGATGCATTTGGGGCTTTAAAACTAAAGCTGAGATGTGATTTTTCATATTAAGAGGTGGTCATCAAGTATAAGTCCAGACGTGAGTTTGTCCCCCAGAGACGCCTTCTGGTCTTTAGCAGTTTATTTTCATGGTGTCTCAGGATGTTTTCATCTCATTTTTAAAATTCTCACCAGTCCTGAGGATGGGCCCATCAGACAGCCATATGGTGCAGTGGATGGAGAGGGGGAGTCCCACGGTCCCGGGACCCTCCCAGTCTCTCCCACTCGGAGCCCCCACCCTGATCAGCTTCCACAAGGAGAAGCGGAAAGCGTGCTCTACTCATTCCTTCCTCTCCTGCAGGGGCTACAGGAGGAGGGGCTGGACCTGGGGGTGCAGATGGAGGCCATGAGGCCTCTCGTCCAGGGGAACTCCCACCACCAGCACAGAATGGACCAGCTCTCCTCTGACCACCAGACCCTGCACAGGTCTCTGGAGGTAAGGGGCCAGCGGAGGGTCTGTGCTGTGACAGAGACATCTGACACTCCTGGGGACTTTCTCCCTCTTTTCTTCCTTCGTTCCTTCCAACCCTTCTTTTTCTTTCTCCCTTCCTTTCTTCCCTTCCTCATTCATTCAGGAGCACCTCAATTACTGAGCACCTCCTGTATGCCAGGCAGTGTTCTGGGCTCTAAGGATTGAGGCAGCACGAGCAGGACAGCCAAGGCCCCTGCTCTCCTGGGTTTAAGTTCTGGTGGGTAGATGGACAACGGAGTCAGCAACAAGTTAAGCATACCATTCCACATGTGCCAGGAGGCCAAAGCACGGACCAGGCTGCACACACGCAGCAGTCCCCGTCGTTTGCGGCGGTAACGCCAGGTTGAAAGGTGGGTCCTGGTGGCTGTAAGCTCCGTATGCAGTGCCCTCTAGTGGCCACCTGGATCTTGCTGGGGTCCACGCAGGATCGATGCCCCTTTGGTGGTGGGACGGCCAGTAGGTGTGGGTAGTGGGATGGCTCCTTCAAAACTGGCCTGAGGACAAGTTGAAATGCAGGCTCCAGCCCTACCCTGACACTGATTTAAATGGCGTCCTGGGTCTGCATTTGTAACAAGTGCCCCCGGCGTGCAAAGCCAGCTGTCAGGCAGCCACAGCTCAAGAACGCTAGTCTAAGGCAGGGTTTTCCACCCTTCCGGACCCTGCATGTCCTATGTTAATAACAAATATTCCTGACATCTTCTTTGCAACCCTGAATCATAGTGTTACCTGCACAATTTTAAAATTTAATATAACGCTTTTTCTATTATGAAAAAGGGAAATAAAAGGAGAGTAATTATAATAAAATAATGCCTTATAATAACCTATAATGGAAAAGAATCTGAAAAAGAATATATATATATATATATACATATATATGTACATATAACTGAATCACTTTGCTGTACACCTGAAACGTTTTATATCAACTATACTTCAATTTATAAAATAGATAAAATTTATTTTTAAATAAACCACTGGTGGCGCAGTGGTTAAGAATCCACCTGCCAATGCAGGGGACATGGATTTGAGCCCTGGTCCGGGATGATCCCACATGCCGCGGAGCAACTAAGCCCATGCACCACAACTACTGAGCCTGCGCTCTAGAGCCCGCGAGCCACAACTACTGAGCCCACGTGCTGCAACCACTGAAGCCCATGCGCCTAGAGCCTGTGCTCCACCATAAGAGAAGCCACCGCAGTGAGAAGCCCGCGCACCGCAACAAAGAGTAGCCCCCGCTCGCCGCAACTAGAGAAAAGCCTGTGCACAACAACGAAGACCCAACGCAGCCAAAAATAAATAAATACATTAAAAGAGAAAAAAAAGCCTATGTCATAAAATAACCTTTTAGAAAAATAAAATAAAATAAAATAATGCCTTTTGATGAAGTGGGTGCTCCAAGAAGGCTATACCAAAGACATCGGAGGTGGTCAGGCCGCACCCGCTCTGCTCAACTGCTACAGATCCCTCCGGTGATGAGAGTTCTGGGGTAAGACCCTAAGCTCGGGTCACGATAAACAGCTTTTTCATCTCTGTGGACATCAGTAGGACATGAGGAGACCTTGCGAGGTGTGGGGTAGCTCTGCGTTGTTGGTCTTAATCGAGGCATAAGGTCTGGATGAATGCATTTAATTCCATTTAATAAATTAAAAGCGTGTGGTCTCGAGGTTGGGGCCAGGAAAGTAGAGAAATAGGTAGGAATCACTGTGCTTGCTCTTCAGGGGCCCGCAGAGCCCACAGAAGCAGCAGACATCAGCTTTCACGCCTACATCCAAACGATGAGCTAATGGATTGTTACAATAATTAGAAGAAGTATTAGCTGAGCATCGCAAGGCTTGCAAAATGGTGATATTCCATTTCTCTCATACTTCTTTATTGTTTAAATGCTTCTTCAAAGAAGTATTGCCCTTCTTTTATTATTTTGGTGCTCGGTGCTTTTTAAGTCTAGTAAGATCTAGTAAGTCCTTCCCCCGTAGCCCAGTAGATCTTCCTGTCCCCCTGGGGGGCACATACCCCATTGCGTAAGGCATTGCGTCTGATGTTGGTGCACAGGGGACAGGAGGAGACGGTGGTAGTGACAGTGCAGGGAAGTCCCCAGCTTCTAGTGGCAGCCAGTGGTGTCAGCCAGTGTCTGGAATGCAGGAAGGCAGGCCCTACGGTGGCCCAGCAAAGAATCACAAGGACCTAAACTGAGAATCACAGCAAGAGAGGGGACCACAGACCCTGGGGTCTGACTGGCCTGTGGTTGGCTGAGAGGGAGGGCCTTCGAGGGTCTCAGGCTGGGTGACCAGGAGGACAGAGAATGGTTACTCTGCTGGATACAGCACCCACCTTTTGTGGAGACAGAGATGAACAAGGTCCCAGAGAGCTGAGCCATGATTGACTCACGGGAGGGGAAACAAAGCAAGACCATTTGAAAGACTTTTTATCAAAGTATAATCATATACAGAAAAGTGAACATCTGATTATGCCGCTTAATGCATTTGTAAAAACAAAAAAATCTGCGTTACCAGCACCCAGATCACAACACAGAACAATACCTGTCCTCGTGCCCCCTCCAGTTGCTGCCTGACACCTGCAAGTAACCCTGACCTTCGACTTGGCATGGCATCGACTGGGTTTGCCTGATTTTATACGTTACTTCAAATGAAGACAGCATATTTCATTTTGTTTCTGGCTTCTAGGTCTCCACGTGATGGCTGTAAATCCATCCATAACGTTACACTAGATTGCTGTGTAGATTGTTCATTCTGGCTGCGGCGGAGGTGACATATTCCATGCTGTGAATGTACCTCAATGCATTTATCCATCTACCATTGACAGGCACTTGGGTAGTTTCCAGTCTGGGGCTCTCACAAGTAACAGCACACACGTGCCTTCTGGTGAAGATATGTTCACATCTGATGGGTTACATGCAGGAATGAAATGGTTGGGTCATAGGGATGCCTGTGTTGGGTTTTAGTAGATACAGACCTATGGTCTTCCCAAGTGGTTGTACCAGTTTACGCCCAAACCCATGACGGACGCGAGCTCCCATTGCCCGCACCCTCACCCAGACCTGGTACTTTCCATAAAAGTAGGACAGGCATATAGGCACTTAAAACCAGAGTTGGTCTTTCTGGGGTAAATTCCTTGCGCTGTGCAGAAGAGAAGACCAACCCCTCATGTTCTTGGCTGGATGGGGAGCCCTGGGGGCCATCCTCCCCTGGGGCTCCGGCAGGGCTGAGGGTCCTGCAGGGTGAGGTCTCAGCCTGGGTCCCCCGGGGCTGTGCTGCAGGACCTTGTGGACACGTGCCGGCAGAGCGTGCGAGAACATTGCACCTTCAGCCACGAGGTTCTGGAGCTGCGACAGTGGATCTCCGTGCTCACGCAAAAGCTGGAGGCCCACCGTGTGGACACGGGCCCATGGGATGCCCAGTCCCGAGAGGTCGATGTCGAGGTAAGAGGGCTCTCCCCACAGAGAGATTCTGTCCCCCGCATCCCAAAAAAGCAGGTTTGGGGAGCAGAGACCCCCCCTCCCCATTACCTTACTCTGTGTGTATGTGTGTGTGTGTGTGTGTGTGTGTGTGTGTGTGTGTGTGTCCTTCAGAAGCTGCTGGACGAATTCCCCGCAAAGGAGGCCCAGCTGCCCCTGATTGAAGCACGCGGCCGGCTGGTGATGGAGAAGTCTTCTCCGGAGGGGGCTGCTGTGGTCCAGAAGGAGCTTCAGGAGCTGGTGGAGTCTTGGGGGGCCCTGAGGCTGCTGAGGGGAAGCCTGCTGAGGTGAGAGGGCTCCCGGCTCTGCGCCTGGTCTCGGACAGCCCCCTTCCCAGCCAGGGAGAGCTCAGCCGCGCTCCTAGAACAGATGGCTGGGGTCTGGGTGCCGGGTGTGGCGCCAGCTGCCTCCGGGCATCTCCAGGCAATTCTAAGTAGAGGCACTAAGAGCGAGGAAACGCCTCAGCTTGGGAATTAGCCTCCAGCCCCTCCTGGCCTGGGCCTCACCTGCATCGATGGGTATGTGCACCTTGATGACAGTAACGTGAGTCTCTAGCAGGAAACTGGAGCTGCAGGTGCCCTGGGGAGGTTCTGACAAACCCGAAGGACAGGCGTGGGCTTGTGAAGACCGGAAGTCGGCTCCCACAGCCTGGTGCCCTGATTCTGTTCCTTCTCCCGTGACCCGGGGAGTCCCCATCCCATCACCACGCTGACTGGGCTGGTTTGTCTTCTCAGCCTCGTCAGGAACCGGCAGCTACAGAGGGTGGAAGTGGATTCGGGGAAGAAACTGATTTTCACCAACAACATCCCAAAGACTGGGTTTCTCATCACCCCCATGGATCTTATTTTCCGACACCACCGTCAGGTGAGTCCGTCTAGTGGGGCTTCCGGGGAGGGACCAGATCCCCAGTCAATTGATGGTGGGAAGCTGTCTCCAGCAAAGTCCCTTCCCTGCCTGGGGCCACATGCTCCGCTCAGGACTGGACCATGTCCCTTCTCAGGTGAGCCTGCCCGGTAGTGGCACAAGAGCTCCCTGTGCCACTGGACAGAGGAACTCTGAGACCCCAGACCCAGGGGTCCCCACTAGGGAAGGTCCCAGGCATCCCTCGGGCAGACAGGCCCTCACCCTCAGAAACCCCGGCTACTGCCTTTGCAGGGAGGAGTGTTGGGGTTGGAAGCTTCCTGCTGACCCCAGATGCAAACGGAAAGCACACAAGATGGGTATTTTTTGTGCCCTAAACTGTATTTTGTAAAAAGAACTAACCTATCTACATAGTATCATCCATCCCTTCCCTTGAGTGGCTTTAAAAAACGAAACCACGTTGAAAAGAAATCCATTCCTTTTTCTTCAAAGACAACACGTCCATTCAGTTGTTTTCCCATTCATTCTTTCACTTCCCCATCCAGAAAGCACTTCTGACTGTTACTATGTTCTGAGGACTGTGCTTGGAGCTGGGACACAGCTGTCAATAAAACAGAGACACTTGCAACCCTCAGAGAACGTAGAATCCAGCACAGAGCATGTGCCACCAGATCGTGTTAAAAGACAGATTCTGATTCAGCAGGTCTGGGCTGGGGCCCGTCACTCTGCATTTCTACAAGCTCCCAGGAGATGCTTAGGCTCCTGGGCCTCGGAGCACATTTTGAGGAGCAAGGAAATGGGAACCACAAGGCAATAGAATAAGGGTTTACGGAACGCGCGCTTCTCGGAGGCAGAGGGGCCAGGCGCTATGGCAGCCTGTTGCAGAGTGATGTGACCTGGGGTAGCGAAGCCCTCCTGGGAGAAAGGAAATGTCGGGGGATCCTCACGGCCGAGTGGGAGCCAAGGAGAGGAGTGGAGGGGGTGCATCCCACGCGGAGGAGGCCATGTGTGCAAAGACGGAGGGAGAGGGCACCGGCGCCAGGGGCCGAGAGCTCAGAGGATGGGGCAGGTGGCACGGTCTGCAGAGCCAGGCAGAGCCAGAATCTGAGGCTCTCAGGCCACATCAAGGAGTGTGAGAGGCCACTAAAGTGTATAAGTGAGGCTCAGCTGAGTGGCCTTGCATTTTAGATAGATCACTCTGGCCGCATAGCCTGGAGGGGGACAAAAGTGGCAGAAGGTGACCACTGTTATAGACTTCCTGGTAAGGGATGATGCTGGCTGTCTCCAGGAGACCAGGGAGGTGACAGTGAGGAATGTCCTTGGCCCCTAAACATGGCCACATTGAGTAGAGATGCATTCCTCATCCCCCCGACCCCTAGGTGTCTCTTATCACCGTTTGGGCATCCTTGGCCCCACCCCTCTGCTCAGATGGAATCCCCAGGACATGTGGCTAGTGGACTGTTTTCAAAAACGCTGATGTGTTGGTCGTGCTGTACCTTCCCGCAGACAAATGTGCTTCAGGAGGAGGAAGACAGCTGTGAAGATTTCTCCCAGCTCCTGAGGAGCTTTGAGCACTGGTTGCAGGTGGATAATTCCAAGTTGGTTAGAATCATCGGCATGAGAACTGCCACCGCCAAGGACCTGAGGACCAGAGAAACAAAACTGCAGGTTTGTTCCCAAGGAAAGGCCCTGTTTCCGAAGGATTTGCCCCTAGAGATGTGCTTGTCGCCAGGGAGTTCTAAAAACAGGAGCACATACATAGCCCTTGAGCTGTTCTGGCTTGTGTATAAATAATAGTTTTTAAAACTTTTTTGCCTCAGGGCTTCCCTGGTGGCGCAGTGGTTAAGAATCCTCCTGCCAACGCAGGGGACAAGGGTTCGATCCCAGGCCGCGGAGCAACTAAGCCCGTGTGCCACAACTACTGAGCCTGCGCTCTAGAGCCCACAGCCACAACTATTGAAGCCCACGCGCCTAGAGCCCGTGCTCCGCGACAAGAGAAGCCACCGCAATGAGAAACCCGCGTGCAGCGATGAAGACCCAACGCAGCCAAAAATACATAGATAAATTTGTAAAAAAAAAAAAAAAAAAGAAGAAGAAGAAAACTTTTTTGCTTCAAATATTTTAGAAGAACCATCCATTCATTCATCTCTTCATTCCGCCTACTGCTGTAGTCCCCAACTTGGAAAATATCACCACTAATCACAATTCTTTTATCGGTTAACTCTTGCTATGGAACAAGCCATTCCAACAGTTTGTAGCTTAAGAGAGCAACTGTTTATTTAATTCATGATTCTGAAGTTTGGCAATTCAGACTGACTGAGGTCAGCTGGGCACTGCTTCTGATCTTGGCTGGGTGCCCTTATTTGTAGACCAGCAGGGTGGCTGTCCTCTGGAGCTTGGTGGGCTATTCGAGATGAGCACGAGGTGCACCACACGTCTCTTATCCTCCTGCAGGGCAGCCTGGGCTTCCCAGAACAGAGGCAGGGTCTGAGAGAGCGAGTGGGGGCATGCAGGGCCTTTTCAGGCCTAGGCTAGAAACTGGCACATCGTTTCCCCTGCATTCTGTTGGACAAAGAAAGTCACGAGGCCGGCTCAGATTCAAGGGGAGAGAAAATAGACTCCACCTCTTGATGGGAAATGTTGCAAAGTCATCTTGCAAAAGGCGTGGATGTGGCAGGGGGCTGGAGGGATAATCCACCTACCGCAAATCTTTCTCCTTCTCCCACATCGAGTTAGTCGCCAAGCCCTTCTTGATTCCACCCCCTGGGTTTTTGTCGTTTGTTTCCTCACTACCACCGTCTTAATCTAGGCGTTTATCATTTTTGACCTTGACTATGACAATAGCCTCCAAGCTGGCCTCCCTCCTTCCTGTTGGGTCCGCATCTCAGTAATGGCTCATTCTGTAGCCAGAGTGACTGTTCAGAATCCTAAATATGACCTTGTCTTCCCCCAGTGAAAACATTTCAGTGTAGAGTTCAACCTCCCGAGTTTATCACGCAGGGCCTTATTCTGTGGGCTGCCTCTTAAGTGAAATCTGAATGGCTCCTCCGGACCAACCAGGTGGGACCTCCTCGGCCATTTGGAAGGCACACGTGACCCTGTCTTTCTCCCTCTAGGAGCTGGAGGCTCGGGTACCAGAAGGTCAGCATCTCTTTGAAAACCTCCTTCGTCTCAGGCCAGCAAGGGGGTCCTCAGATAAGCTGGAGGATCTGCGCTACCGGTGGATGCTCTACAAGTCCAAACTAAAGGACTCCAGCCACCTGCTTGTACGTGCTAAGGATGCACAGGTCCCAGGCCCTGGGGAGACATAGCTGGGCCCGCATCCACTCTGCCCCATGCCTCCACAGACCAGGCTGAGGGGACCACTCAGAGAGAGGAGACGGAGACTCATGGGTCCTAGGCGCGTGACTTGCAATTTGTCATTTGGCCCTCCTGCCACCCATTGAGGCTGGAGCTCCAATAACAACAGCTTTGCTACTTACCAACCTGAAACCGTTACGTGCATCGTCCCATTCAGTGCTTACAGCAGCCCTCTGCCAGAGTAATTGCATTTCCAGCCTTCAGAGTGGGGCTGAGACTCTGAAGAGTTAAAAAACTCACCCAAGTCCACATGGCTAGGAAGGGGCAAAGCCAGCACTAAACGCACCCTGGTGTTGGAGGCATGACAGAGGGAACGCTGGAGTGCGACCTGCGATCTAGGCCCGCTCCTCCACTAACCTGCTTTGTGACACTGAGGAAGCACCTTCCCCCTAGGCGCCCCCCGGGTCTCACACAAAACAATAACAATAGCTAAACTCATAACAGCCTTTATTAAACGCTATGTCCTCATTATGGTCTTATAATGGAGGCACCGTTATTATTCCCTGAGAACTGATAGGGAAACTGAGGCACGGAGGTTAATCCAAGGACAGGGTGGGTGGCCTCCTGGAGCCCTTTAGGCCCTCAGACCCCAGACTCCAAGCTTTGGGGCTGCAGCTTTTCTGGCCCTGAAACAGCCATGTCGGCCACTAGGTGTCACCCCAGCCCCAGCCAGGTCAGCATGCCCGTGGCCTTGGCCCAGGGCTTCCCAGACAGGATCCCCACCTGGGCCCCATGCTTGTTAAAAAGCTCATTAAATTGAATCACCTGCTGGTTCAGCCTGTCCAGATGACCACAAGTTTTAAAGAAACACTCCCCTGACAAAATGAATATTCCATTACAGGCTCTGCTGGGATTTAAGTTTCACTCACTTAACTTCGTTTTTTTTTTTTTTTCCCTTTTCCTCTCCTTACCTAAAATAACAGACGCAGAATTCTCCAGGGGAGCCGACTGGATTCCAAAAGGTACGGTGTCTGCCATCTGCTCCACACAGCTATAGGGCAGGGCATTTGGAGGGTTGCTGGGCCTGTGATGCTGGGGCAGGACCCCTGGGCTTTCTGGAAGGTTCCATGAGGTCTGAGGGACGTTTCTGGGGAATCGGCTCTGGGCTGCACTGTGCTGGGCCCCCGGGGGTCCTTGCTCTCAGGGATGAACAGAGTGCTCTCAGCTGTGACAGGACACGGGAGGAGTGAGCAAGGACACTGCTGTGACAGCAGTCGTAAACTGGGACGGTCCCAGGAAACCTGGACCACTCCGGGTCACTGGACCTCGCGACCACCTGAGTAGTAGACGGGCATCCGGCGGCGGGGGGGGACAAAAGAGGAAGGGGTGAAGCGCTCAGAGCCCCTCCCGCGGGGCTTGCAGGCCAAAGCAACGACAGTAACAGCAGTAATCATAGTAATAATGAGGAATAAGAATTATTACTCTACATGCTACGTGTTGACCCTCCAGTGTGTGCCAGGTTCTGTGCCAAATCGCGGTGAGGGCGTTTCACTTAACTGTCCCCTAGACACCCAGCAGGCATCGCTCCCGCCATGTTAAGCATGAGGCAAACAAGGGAAGGCAAGATCGGAGTGACATGTCCAGTCAAGGCGCACGGCTCCTGAGTGGCCTCTGGCCTCTGCCTCCTAAGCCCACACGTAACCATCCACGCTGTGCCTTGGAGAAAGCATCCCTGGGGGCTGGAGGCTCTCCCCACTTCTGGAAAAGTCCCATGTAAATTGGTGTCCCCAGCGCCACCTTTTCTGAGCGCACGCTTGTTGTCCTGACAAGCGTTGGCTCATGACGTGAGCCTGCAGCACACTCTGCTCCAAAGAACCCCGGGACCACGAGATCTCTCGGGCCCTGCAGTCTGTGTTCCCAGGGGCTCTGTCCACCTGGACTTCTTGGTCTCCAGCTGGTGTTCATGTCTCCATCTGTGGGACGGCAGGTGTCCCCGGGACTGGCTGGGGCAGTCACAAGACCAATGCTGTGCACTGGGCCTGGCGTCCACCAGCTTTGCGGCCTCGGGCAAGTTGCTTTGACTCTTGGGGCTTACTTTCCCCATCTGTAAAATGGAACCATCAGTGCCGACTTTATTTACTTCATGAGCGAATTTTGAAGATCATGTGAACTGTTGTTCGTTCTTTAGAGGAGACCGGAAGCCCTGGTTTTCCCCCCTGATTTAGAAGAACAGAGGGCCTCCTCATGAAGTAGGGGAGCACATCAGGAAGGCAGGGTGGCGCACACAGCCCAGCCTGTGACTCCTGGTGGTACAGGGGGGCTCAGGGCCCGGTGTCCAGGCTGTCTCCAACTCCTGCTCTTTAAGCCACTCTGGTTGGGAGCCCCCATCTATGTAGCTCCCAGGCCAGAGTCCAGGGGCAGTCATGTCTGGGTCCTGTGGTGTTTTTGAGTAGGGGGGCGCTTGGCTGGCTGACACCAGCCCTGCAGTGCAGACTCAGGTCCCTGGCAGCCTGAAACCGGTTCATGTGGGGTGTTCACAACCCTAGGTTCATTGACCGGCTCCTCATTCGTTCATTTCACAGATATGTACTGAGCACTGACTTTGTACCAAGCACTGTTTCAGGTACTTGGGATAGCTCACCAGAGCAAAGGCCTGCTCGGGGAGTGCTGGGTGAAGGGGTTTGGGAGAGAGGCTCACACCCACAGCCGGTGTTGCCCGCACGATGTCGAGTCTCTGGCCAGGGACCGCCCAAGGACAGCAGTGGCTTGAGGTCTTTACAGCTACAGCGTTGATCTTATCTATGACTGTCCCATGTTGGGCACAGTTTCGTGGGATATGCAAAGCAGGCAGACTCTAAATGGCTAAAAAAAATCTTCTTATTCAGTCTTCATTTAGAAACAAATGGATGTGTGAAAGTTTGAGTTCAGTGCTGGCTGGCTTTTGAGCTCATGGGTCTCAGCCCCCTGTGAAGAAGCAAGCAACTCGGAAGCCAATCTACAGAGGCCATCTGGGGTTCCTTTATATGAGCTTGTTTCAGCACAGATTTCTGGGTCCCACATCCAGAGTTTCTGATGCATTAGGTCTGGGGGTGGGGGGCCTAGGATCTGCATGTCCATCGAGCTCCCAGATGACGCTGTTGCTGCTGGCCCGGGGACCAGACTTTGAGAACTGCTGCTGTACGCTCTGGATCTGAGTCCAGGATCCACCATCAGTGTGTGTGACCGTTGGCGAGTCACTTAACCAGGGTTTTCCAAGGAATAAAATGCGGGTCCGCTGAACTAATAGTTCTTATCGTAAAGATTCTTAATTGCCATGTAAATGAGGACCAAGGAGAGGTCTGCAGTCACTGCCTCTGCTTCCCTTCCTGATGGCAGAGGGATAGTGCCGCTTCTGGGGGGAGCAGTGGGGGGGATCCTCCTGCCGGTGCGGCTCTGGTGTTGTTTGGCTGGGAGGGGTGCACACATGCGTGTGTGGGGCTCTGCACATACACACGCAGGTCTGACAGGTAGAAAATAGGTGCTGTTTTCCGAGGTTGTAATCTTGCCAACTTAAAAACATTCCATATATTAGTTTTAGTCCAAAGGGAAGGGGGGAAAAAAAAAGAAAACTCTGCCCCAAAGCTAATTATTTATGAGCAGTTGGCTCTCCACACTTTTTTTCTCTCCACGCACCAAGCCACTGAAAGCTCCAACTACGTCAGTGGCTTCAGCCTCCTTGTTTATATAAACAGAATAATTAAGATTTATTAAATTTGCAGCTGCCTACACACTTGCCAGCTCAGTGCCACCGGATACGTCTGCTTGAAGCAGTCAGACACATGCAATGTCATTGCTTTTCGAGCTGCTGTTGGGCTGTGAGTCGACTGAATTCCTGCGCTGGTACAGGGAAGTGGTCCTACCTGAGACAGCCTGTTAGTTGAGGGGCAGATTTGCCAATGCTTGCCTTTGCCGGCGTGCACTAGGCAGGGCCACATGCCCGCGTGCAAGCATGGAGAGCAGATTCCTCCCGGGCATCCCATGCTGTGGCCTCTGAGTGATGGGTCCAGATGGTGAGAGACTCGAGAGTGGCATTTTATTCACAGGTTTTAGACTCATAATTATTCACGTTTTCACCTCTCGGGAATGGGGGTGTCCTATTACAATCTAGTTTTTCCAGCGAAGACTGGGGCTTACTTTTCTCTGCCACCCGGGGCACTTTCCACCTGAGATTTCTTTAAATTAAAATCTCTCCTTGGAGGTTGAGTTTTGTTTTCCATTGGACCACACCGATTGTGTCGATTTAGATGACCCACCTCTGGGAGCTCTGAACTGAGGTTCAAATTCTCAGGGGAGACTTTATTTCCTGCCCGCACCCAGTGCCAAGATAAGACCTGGGATTTCCTTGCTTCCCCTTTCGGTGGGGCGGGATTAGCCCTCGGTTCCCCCTGACCCCAAACGCATAGCCCCGTGTGGCCCCGGCATTGTGTGGGATCTGCAATCAGACACTCCATCTTGGTTGTTGGGTCTCTTTCTTTCTTAGCGGTGTGTAAAATAGTGCTGTACCTTACAGTCAGCGTGCTAGAGCAGAAGAAATATTGTAAGACCAAGTCTCAGAACTCACTAAATCTCTTAGTGAGTTTCCCACGTTAGGCAATAACTTTCTCTCACTATAGCTATGCTTTTTTTTTCTTTTCATTTATTAGTTCACTTTATTATTCATTCAATAGCTATGCTTTTAAAAATTCATCACTATTAACCAGAGTTCATAGTTAACATTAGGGTTCACTTTTTGTGTTGCACATTCTATGGGCTTTGACAAATGTCTGATGACGTTGCAGTGTCACGCAGAATGGTGTCACTGCCTTAACCTTCTCCCAGCTCTTCCTCTTTATCCCTCTCCCCTCCCCCAGAGCCCCAGCAACCACTGATCTTCTTACTTCTTTCACTTAGCAACATGCGCTTGAGTTTCCTCCATGCCTTTTTGTGGCTGATATTTCATTTCCTTTTACACAGAATAACATTCCATTGTAGGCATGTACCATTTACAGTCTTTTATAGCCTTTTCCGCAGTCCAGGATCCAACCTAGGATCACACGTTACATTCAGTCATCACACCTCTTTAGTTTCCTCTAAGCTGGGACCAGTCCTCAGTTTTTCTTGACCTTGACCTTCTTGAGTACAGGCCAGATATTTTGTAGAATGTCCCTCACTTTGGGTTTCCCCAGTGTTTCCCTGCTCTGCATTTCTGGAAAGCATATCCCAGAAGTGATGCTGTGTTCTTAGCGCGTCTTATTGGGAGACATGTGATATTGGTACACCCCCGTATTGGTGATGCTGATTCTGATCACGTGATGAAGGTGATGAGTGTCAAATTTCTCGCCTGTGAAACCGCTCTCATTTCTTTTATAATTAATGAGAACTAACTGCTCAGAGACCCTAGAAATACAGCGCCTCTTTCTTACATGGTCACATCCACCGGGTTCTCCGGGGCCTCTTTCCCTCTCACGACTCACTCCCCAGCAGTTCCTTCCTGCCGTGGCTTTGTTCCCCGACTCTAGGCCTCTCTCTCTCTCTGGTCCACCTCTGGTCTGGGTCTCCTTCTAGCTTCAGTGCCAAGGCCCAAGCCTGTGGGATGTTTATCCGGGAGACTCCTCGACTCAGCGTGTCTAAAGCTGACCTCACCGTATTCCCTGTGTCCAGCCAAACCCCGTTCCCCATATCAGCAAAGCATCCTCACTACCCAGTCTTCCAAGCTGGATGCCTCTGGGTCACCCTAGACCCTCACTGACCTGGGTTCTGTCCTAGACTCAAAAGAGCCTGGTCATGGATGGATCTCAGATGAGGGAAGGAAGGGAAGGGAAGGGGGCCTTGTGTCCATACATCTGCTGCTGAATGGGGCTCTGTCCTCTCTCGAGTAATAATAAGGTCACTCCTCAGTCTGATCATTTCATCCAGAGGTTCTTCCCATCAATCACCAAACCACCTCCAAAAAGCCAGCTCAGACCGTCTCATCTTCATCCTCCCCCAAACCAAGCCAGGGAGCTGGAAAAACACAGTTCTGTAGCCTGACCATCACATGCAGGGCTGGCCCAGTGAGGAGATAACATTAATCCCGCCCCACCCCAGCCTCTGCCCTTCTGTGCCTGGGTGGGAGCTCTCCGCCGCCTCTGAGCATGCCTGGGGAGTGAGTTTGGGCTCTAACTCAGTGCTTTGGCACCAAGAACTTGGTGACGAAGACATTCAAGGTGCTGTGGGCAGGACCCAGCCCAAGATCTGTGATGTCCTGAGACTCCCTGTACCAGTCAAGGAGACGCAGCCCCCTGCTGGGGGTTCTTGAGGAACGCTAGTGGGAGCAAGCCAGCCAGCATGTGGCTTGGCGTCTGTCAGAGGGACCTTCAGGGACTGAACTCATTGCCAAGTGAGAGTCTAGTGAGGGGCATTGGTGCTGGTCCATCTTGAATAGCCAGAGAAAAGCTGGCCCCTGCCCATCACCTTGAGCTCTTGGCGCTGGCCTGGAAGCGTCTTTGTGCTGGAGAATGAGACCGAACTAGCTCCTGGGAAAGACCCTGCAAGCCCAAGTGGTGTTGCTGTGGGACTTCCATACCCAGGGCCCCGGGTCAGGGTGGGACCAGCTTCAACAGAGGCCCAGGGGGACTTGTCTCATTGTTGCTGCTTCTTATGAGAAACGCCACATGGGATGGTGGGAAGAGCCTGGCTGTGGAGCCGTGCTGGTAATTTGAGCCTGTCCGTGTGACCTTGGGCTGGTTATTTCCTGCGGGCTCAGTTTCTTCCTCTGAGAAATGGGCACAGGGTACCTCCCAGAGCTGGGCAGGAGCTCAGGAAGCCCGTGAGTGAGGAGGCGAGCTGAGCGCGGGGCTGGGGTGTGCTCAGTGTTGTTCATTCACGTGTGGAGCCCAGATTCTCTGGGGGAGCCATCAGGACAGCGTGGACAGTTCACTGACAGGTCAGTGAGTGTCTGCGTGGTCACACCACAGGCACCGAGGGAGGAGCAGATGGCCAGATGCACAGGAAGGGAAAGAGCCTCTTATTCATTGTTTCGTTCTTTCAGTAGGTATTTACTGCACATTGCTGAGGATACAGCGATGAACCAAACTAATGTAGACCCTGCCTCCAAGGAGCCAAGGGGAGCACAGACTTTAAGTGGTAACCCAAAGGAAAGGCATTGGTGCCGTGAGAATGTGTAATGGGCCTTTTTTTGGTTTAGAGGCAGGGAAGGTTCCCCTGAGGAAGCGACTCACAAGTTGAGATTAGAATGATCAGTAGGAGCTAACCAGGTGCATTGGAGAAAGGAGGGAAATGGGTCTTCCAGCAGAAGGGATAACCTGTGCAAAGGCCCTGTGGCAGGAGGATCTGAGGGCCTTTAAGGGGCCAAGAGATGGCGTTTAGGGAGAGCAGTGTCTTCCTTTCTGATGGGGCTGAGGAGGTGATAGTGTCTGATTCTTGGCACCCCGGGTGCAGGGGGAAGCTTAGGGGTCTAGTAGAAGCTGCCCATCTGCCCTGGGCAGTTGGAGGAGTAAAGGAATGAGTATTTGCCAAGGACCATTGGCATGTTGGCTCATCATTTGCGTGTTGGGCGTAAGCTGCATTGCTCTGTTTATCCTTATGACTCTGGCAGGCAGGTGTCAGTCTCCCTTTGCCTTGACAGATGGAGGCACTGAGGCTCAGAGAGGCTGAGTGACCTGTCCTAGGTCACACAGCTGGGAAGTGACAGGGCCAGGGTTAGAACCCAGGACTCCAAGCCTTTTCTTTCCCCCACATCCTTTTTCTTCAATGGCAGAAGATTAAATCACATTTACTGTGATAAACTCACCTTGCCTGAACTCCTCAAAACTGCAGAGTCTCAGGTTCGTGGGAGATATTGGAGGACTCAAGCATTTCATCACCCTCCACAACATCACCTGTCTCCTCCCCACCACCATGTGCTATCAACGCTCTGCTTCCACACCCTAAGGAATGGGGAGCTTATCACTTCCCGAGGAAGCCCCTTCTCTCTTTGGATAGCTCTAACGGGGCAGGACACACGTAGTACTTTCTATGGGGAAACTGAGGCACAGAGAAGCTCCCAGATCTGGGAAGAGCTGAGATTGTCAATTTCTTTGTTGGCTTCTTAGACAGTAGTTCATGCCTATTTGTGTGTGTGTGTGTGTGCGTGCACACATTTGTTTTCTAAGCATTTGAGAATCATATTAAAGTGTGTCTTCTATTTTAAAGGGCATTTTAGAATTCAGGTCCCTCAAAACGAAGATGTGAGCTCCGTGTGAATAGACATGGGGCAGGCAGCAGGACTCCTTGAAAAAGATCACCCCTTGTCAACACTTGTAAATGCAAACATGCTTTGGACCTTCAGAGTTGTTTTCTCCAGCGGATCGTGGCCAAGGCACAGCTCCTCACTTAAATAAGCAAAGTGTTAGCTCTGAGAAAGGAGAAGCAAACAGGACCCTTAGACACAGATCTCCACTTGGGAGACCACTAATTACAGGTTTTCAGTTGTGGTGTGAACCCAGGCTAGTGGGGGGGCCTACACGTTGCCTCACCCTCTTTCCCTCTCCTGGGTGGGTCAGAGATTTGGAATCGGGCAAAGTCAACATGAAGTGTCAAAGAGTCAAGTCAGAGCCCCCAGAGACTGAGGCATTGCTACATGAGTCGAGTAGGTGGGTAAGAGCACGTGGCAGCCAGGTCTGACCCAGCCTGGCAGCTGTGGGAAGATCCTGTCTCCTCTGTGGACATCGTTCAGCTATTTAAATGACTTATCTCACACACACGCACACACACACACACACACACACACTCCTGAAGTCACTGCTGAGATAAATGCAGCCAGCAATGCTTCTCCATTGTGTGGGTTATAAGAAGTCTGTGTTTACAAGATCAGTGTCTAGGGCCTTTGGTGACCGAGAGCACCTGAAGTTGGAGGCATAGGGTCAAGTGTTATCAACCTGGAGGAGATAGTTGGGGCAGGAGAGTGGGTGAGATGACTCAGGTATGAGAGGTAGAGAGAGAGAAGTGCTCAGGTCAGAACCTCGCAGAAACACCTGCAGAGTTCCTCTCAGCGTCATCCCCACCACCGTCAGCATCAATTATTTATTTATTTATTTTGGCTGTGCCAGGTCTTAGTTGCGGCACGCGGGATCTTCGTTGCGGCACGCGGGCTTCTTGGTTGTGGCGTGTGGACTTCTTAGTTGCGGCACGCATGCGGGATCTAGTTCCCCGACCAGGGATCAAACCCCCAGGCCCCCTGCCTTGGGAGTGTGGAGTCTTACCCACTGGAACACCAGGGAAGTCCCAAGAGCATATATACTTTTTAAGTGGTGTATAAATGTACTTTGCTTTGAGTCCTCACCACAACCTGGAAAATGGGGGTAGGTGTTTTATCCCCATTTTGCAGAGAAGGAAACTGAGGCTTAGAGAAGTTATTGACATAGCTAGTGTGTGACACAGTCTTCACTGGAGCCCAGTCGGCCAAGCTCCTGAGAACTGGGCCCCTACCCTGCACCATGCTGTATCTTGAGTGTGGGGCCTCCACTTTATGGGGTGGCCAGCTCTTGGCTCTGCACTCCCGTGAAGTTGCAACCCAGCCAGTCCCTCTAGAATTTAGGAACTGTCCTGTGGCTGCTTTCATGGACATCGCAGCAAAGAAACCCATTAGACGTTTGGACTTGTGAGATTGGCATTCAGGTGTTGATGATGAACAAGGAGAGGGAGGAAACGAAGAAGAAAGAGGAAGAGGAGGAGATGAAGAAATTGAGATTATGGTGGTGACAGTGGTGACCATGATTTAGATGGTGATAGTTTTTGGTTTCTTTGATTGTTATTTTTTCAAACCCTGTGTCAAGGGCTGATGTTCAGTAGACTGCAGCAAGGGAGCTGCTCTGCTACTTATGAAGCGCTGACCCAGAAGTAGGTCGTCTTCAAATGGTTTACATTCCCCATGAATGTGTCTTGTAATGTGTCTTGTAATGGGTGAGGGGGGCTTCACACTGGGGCACGTGGCGGGGACAGAGGGGAACTGACTATCCGAGGCCAGCTGGGGCCCTGCAGTGCTGCTGTATGGTTCTGCCTGTGTGGGATTCTGACTTAGAGGTCTTTAGTCATAATCCCACAGATGGTAGCTTCACCCCATTGGCCAAACACATGCACCAAAGATGGTGATCGTAGTAATGATGCATAATAATAATGGCAGCAGCTTTGAGTACCTACTGTGTGCCAGGCTCTGTCTCATTGAATCCTCACAACAACTCTGTCAGGTAGGTGCCATTATTCCCCCTATTTATAGATGAATGTAAAGTTTAGCGAGATTGAGTGACCTTCTTAAGATTCACACCCAGGACTCTTATAACCTGGCACAGATTTATGTAATCATGGACAAAGCCTGTAACTTTTTTATCCTCTTCCTTTCTGAGTGGTTTGAGAAAACTAGAGATCTTTGTTTCCGGAAGAACTGACATTAGTCCCACTTCACAGATGGGAAAACTGAGGCCGATGCGGTTGGAGAGTCCGCCCGGAGCCACTGCCGCTCCTGGGTCATCCCAGCCCTCTCCTCCCGAGCCCACTCTCATCCGGAGCCCACTCACATCTCCTGCTTTGGTTCTGCAGGCCCAGCGGTGGCGAGGGCTCGGCTCCCTCTGCCGGAAGGTGTGCTGCGTGGCGCTCCCCCTGCAGCTGCTGCTGCTGCTCTGCCTGCTGCTGCTCTTCCTGCTTCCCGTCAGGGAGGCGGACCGCAGCTGCACGCTGGCCAACAACTTTGCCCGCTCCTTCACGCTCACGCTCCGCTACGACGGCCCCCCGCCCACCTAGCCCCCTGGCGGCGCTCCGGGGACTTTCTTCTCCAAACTTCCATGTGCCCCAGCCTCCTCCAGAAGATGCTGGGGAAACTGGAAACAGGGGCAGGCCAGAGCCTGCCGGGCTGCATCCATGTAAATACTGTATTGATGTTCCCAGAGCGAAATTACCTTTTATACAGTGTTGTCTTCGTCTAAACTAAACATGTTCTATGTGGGACTAGGGAATAATGCATAGCGTTTTTATATGCTCTCTATGTAAATGCTCAGTATGTATGATTTCATATATGACCTCTATTTGTCTTTGGGAAAATTCCCAGCAGTGTTCTTGTCCAGTGCGGGATCTTGTGGCATTTTGGCCTTGGTCTGCAGTCAGGCCTGGAAAGCAGGAACAATAACAGGTCGCTTTTATGGCCACCTCCTATCCAGAAGCCAAGCCCTACACCCAGATGTTCATGAAGAGGACTCTGAGCTGTCAGCACAGAAGAACAGCCCTGGCCCTCATTCAGAGCCCAGTGACTCTTGCTTTAGGTACAGTGAGAACAACCATGCTTGTCTATTTTTTAGAATGACAGCAGATTAGATGCTGTGGATTAGAAGCAGAAAGGGTGCCGATCCCCGGCAGGCTCAATGGCAACAATGAAAAGTGACAAGTGATAGAGTGAAATTAAGGGAGGAAAAGAAGAACTGCAAAGAGCAGACCCAGAACTAACAAAGCACAGCAGAGGGCTTCCCTGGTGGTGCGGTGGTTGGGAGCCCGCCTGCCGATGCAGGGGACGCGGGTTCGTGCCCCGGTCCGGGAAGATCCCACGTGCCGCGGAGCGGCTGGGCCCGTGAGCCATGGCCGCTGAGCCTGCGCGTCCGGAGCCTGTGCTCCGCGACGGGAGAGGCCACAACAGTGAGAGGCCCGCGTACCGCAAAAAAAAGAAAAAGAAAGAAAAAGAAAGCACAGAAGAATGGGGACCTCAAGGAGCCCGAAGAGCCCAGACCAGTGATGAAGGTCCGTGGTCAGGACAGTGCGTCTTCAGGGAATGGTTAGATCATGCCACGTGTTCTCTGCTCTGTTCAGGGAGAAAGTGAAGGAGAGGAAGCTGACTGTTAAGCTTCCCATGCAGAACGATGAGCACACTCTGTGCGTAGCACCCACCTGACAGTGCCGGGGAAGATGTGTTACCGCTGTTGCTCTTAAGCTGGGTTTTCATCATCTATGGCTCAGGCTGAAGGGACAGAGGGGAGCATCTGCCACGCCAGGGGCCAGAGATCGAGGGTCCAAGGTAGAGAGTGGAGGTCTGCCGTGGAGCTCAGCCTGTCTGAAGGGCTCTCCCTCCTCCTCCCAGAAGGGACTTTGGAGAGAGGTGGGTCCTGTGTCCCACACATGTGCCCACAAGGGACCCAGGGGCCAGGCGCCCCACCAGGCCCCCTCTGCAGGGGCTTGGCAATCGGGCCCATGAACCACCTGGGGCCTGAGGCTGGAAATACATCCCTTCCTCCCCGAGGAATTCTGGAATGGTTCCTAAGTGCTTCATAACTGGATCATATTTTCCCTAAATCAACACAAAATTTTCCTTTTTAAAAAATGCTTAGTTCCCACTCTTTACAAATTGATTTTGTCTGTTCAGCTACGCATAGGAGACCAAGAAGGGATTCCTCAGGCCTTTGAAATCACAGTGTTATAGACCAAGAAAGACCTTTAAACAGAGGGGAAACCGAAGACCCAAGAGGGTCCAGACCCCCAGCATGTGCCGCTGCCCCCTGCTCTCTGGAGCACACGGACCCGTCCTTTCCAGCGCAAGCCCGGCCTCAGCACAGCTCTCAGCGCAGGGACCCCAGCGTCCCTGTAACTAGAAAGAGCTGGACGTCCACAGGGCGGGAAAACAGCGTCACCAAGAAGGGCTCTCAGCACTGACTCAGAAAGCACACTTTTCTCCAGATATTTAGAAACCAAGCCACAAAGCCGTTCTCCACAGGAGATCGCTTTACTGGAAAATCTGGGGCTGTGTGAACCAAGACCTCAGGCCCAGGCAGCTGAGCCCAGATGCCCACTGGGTTGCATTGGTCCAGCCCAAGAAGGTCAGCGCTGTGGCCAGGGCCTTTGAACATCTCCTCTCCCACTCTCCCACTTCACAGCGAGCAGGCAGTGGCCCAGAGAGGGGAAGCAGCTTACCCACAGCCACACAGCAAGAGGTGGCCAAGGCCAGAGCTGAGCCTGGTCACCGCTACCCCCAGGCGGCGCCCTGCTCGCGGTCGCCCCATCCCCCCACCCCCATCCGTAACTTCAGAAAGAAAAAGCTCGAAGGATGTGAACACAGTTGTGTCCTGCGTGTGGGCTCGGGGGAGAGGTGTAATGTGTGGGCTGCTGGGTGGGAGTGTCTGCATATATTTTTTAAACTTTGACAGTGATGCCATAGAGCTTGTTTGCATAACTTTTTTTGAAAAAGAGAATTGATATTTTCATTACTCTCATATCAATGCGGGGCCGATATGACATAACCATCATTTACTGGTGCTTTTCAAGTGTCGTCTCTTGCTTAAAGTGGATGCTAACAACTGTGATTTTTATGACTTTCTAGCTTCCTGAGCACCAACCTCAAAGAGCTTTAACGCGCCTTTTTAGAAGGGTGCCGCAGTGGGACCTTCGTGTGTTTATTTTTCCTCTGTCCCCCAGAGTGAGAGAGATGGTAAGAAGTGTGAACATCACTGCCCAGCCCAGGGGTGTGTGCGTGCGTGTATGTGTGTGTGAGAGAGAGAGACGGAGACAGAGAGAGAGAGGAGAGAGACAGAGGAAGGGGGAGGGGGAGGGGAGGAGGAAAAGAGAAACACAGGTGAGCCTGATCAAAGCTGCTGTCACCCTCCTTAGCTGTCTCGCCTGATGAGGGACACCCCTCCCCCAGGGTGGCCACGTCTGGGGCAGTGGGGAGATGGGGAGAGGTCCCTGCTAGCTCTGTGGATCCCAAGATGCCAGCAACTTCCTTTGAAGTCTGTTACCTGAGTGTCTCTCACTGGTGGCAGTACAGTGACCCCCAGCAAGCCTCTTGTGTTCCCAGCCCAGTCGGGAATGCACCCTAATTCCCTCTCTCTTGGGAACTCAGCTAATGGCGTGGCGTCTCCCCCTGCTTCTCTCACCCCAGTAGGATTGCCACCTGTCTGGGTCAGCAACAGAGGAGAGGTGGTCGGGCCATGAGCTGTGAGCACAGGCCCAGCATTAAATACATGGGCGCTTCTTTTCAGGAGCTTTCCCAGAAGCCCCACCCAGACACGTCTGTCGACATCTCACTGGTCAGAACTGTCACATGGTTCCTCTGCATCTCTCAGGAGTCTGGAAACATCCTCCAACAAAATGGGCATCTCTTAGCGACAAGGAGGGGTAGAGTGGATTGGGGTGGCACTTAGGTGTCTCAGCCCCAGTCACCCTGACCGTCCGTGTCTTGGTCTCCTGCTCTGTCAGCAGAATTTGGGGGCGTTCATCATTGAGGGGTGAAAATGACCTTCCACCACTGCCCCCCACCTGCCTCCCCCGGTGACGGGGGTCCCTGAGTTTTTCAAGTCCCTCTCCCTCCCCAAGGTGTCACAGCCATTCCCTCCACACGCAGGACACTTCTAGGTCCACCTCCTTGCAAGACTTGGGAACAGGTAAATAAACCAAAATAAATCAAGTGCCCCTCTTGGCCAGAGTGTGTGCAGGGGCAACCCTCCACGCGCCACCCGTCCTGGCCGTGTAGGCTCAGGGATAAGCTTTTTAACACTTGTGTGTCTGTATCCAGCCTAGGAAATTTGTAGTTGCTTTAATTTCTTCTGGAACATGAGTTACTCCTGGGTGCAAATCCTGGAAAGAGAGGCTCTCTTGAGCGTTGCCAGGCTGCCCCCCTTCCCCCCATTTTCCAGCAAACCGCTGAGGCCTGGAAAGGGAACGTGGGAGGACACAGCCACAGGTGGCTCCCAGCGTCCGACTGGCGGAGCCTCCAGCAGAGGAGCAGATTCAAAGGATTTAAATCGTCATTTCTCCCTCGGTTTCAATTACAAGAGAAAGGCCTTCTATTCGTCAAAGTAAGCAAAAGGGGGAATTCATTTTTAAAAAGAAATTAAAAAGACAGAAGCTCATGGTTTAAAAACAGATCTCAAATCAGAGCACCCAGAGCCTGAAAGAACAGTCAGCCAATTCAGCATCCTCCAGTGCCTGCCTTTTGGTTGTCATGGTAATGTGACAGCTGCTTACAGGTTGGTACCCAACCAGCTTGTTCAGTCAGGGGACAGTAATCATACAGAGGAAGCTCAGTTTCCCCAAGGGTCCCAGGCTTCCTTTCAGGAACGCTTACTTCCTAGCTCAGCCACCAGAGCACAGGGTGGCAGCCCCTCTTCCTATTCTGACGGAAATGGGAGGGAAGAAACGAACTGAGGACCTGCAAGATGGCCCTGACTCCTTCCAAAACCCTCACCATGGAGTCATGGTCTTGTTTTTAGATGCTGAAACCAGAGCACAGAGAGGGTTAGCAACCTGCCTTAAAGCAACCAGCTTGTGAGTGAGTGGTTGATTTGGGACTTGTGCCCCGGGGTGATGGGCTCCAGGCCTCTCCGTGGAACTTCAGCCTCAGCTACTTTTCTTTCCTTGGCAGGCCTGGGCCACTGCTACTTTGGCAGCCGGTTAGCTAGTTGAGGGTAATGTTCCAGAGGAGGGGTTGCAGGGCTTCCTTCTGATGCCCACTGCCCCAGAGAGCTGACAGGGTGATGTGCTGGGGGACAGAGACTGGGTGCTTACCATCCCCTGGAAAAGCAGAAATAGACCTCCTCTTGCAGGACAGCTGGAGGGGAGAGTTGGCTTTGGGATGTCGCTGCCTGTAGAACAGTTCTGACTCCTTCCACTGGAGAAAAAAAGAGGCATTTCTCTCCAGAGGCAGTGGCCTCGCATGTTCTAGAGTTTTATAGGCGAGGAAGAGGTGGACAGAGGAAGTTTTGTGTGAATGTGGTGTGTGTGTGTGTGTGTGTGTACACGTATATGTGCATGTGTGTGTATGTGTACTACGTGTTCATCTCCACCCAGAAGCACAGCTACGCAGCCCTTGTTTCCAGCCCTGGGCTTCCGGGCAACAGATACCACTAGCCTGTGGTCTCTGGGAACCTCAGGGTGACCGTGCTGGACCCAGGATGTTTCCCCAGGTTCCAGCATTTTATGCCTCTTATGGAAGCAACTGGTTGTTCCCCCTGCTGTTCTCCACACAAAGGGAAGGTCAGCTGACCCCCTGAGACCTCTGCCATCTGGAAACTCCCTCAGGCTGGTTTGGAAAACGATGCCCTCTCTTTTGCTCTGGCTAACATACAACCTGCTCTTAGAGGAGGACTTAGCTAAGTGGGCCCTAATTTGCCCATTTCTCTCTTGCTCTGTGTGTCTGTCTGTGTGTTTTAGAAACCAGGGACGTTCAAAGATGCTAAAAACCCAGGAAATGATCATTTAACAGCTTGTAGATAAATATATCTTGGTTTCTGTCCATTTTTCTGCTCTCAACCACTGTTTCTTAAAACATTTATGATCTAAGTATATGTGAACGTGCAGTTACTAGCTCTACATTCTCTTTTCATTTATGCTTGATGGTGTAGGACTCCACTGAGGAAGTGTCAGCTTTTATTCTTTTCACTTGCTTATTTATATTCATGCATGTTTTCTTTTAGAAAATGTTTAAGGCAAGATTTGAATGTATACATGGTCAACACAAGAATTGTGAGGGTAGAAATAACCTGTTTATTGATGTACACAATCTAGTTTTAACCAATAAATGGATTGGCTAGTTTTAAAAGATGCGTCTAGAATCAAGAAAGAGAGAGAGAGGGAGAGGGAGGAAGGGAGGGAGAGAGGAAGGAAGAAAGAAAGGAAGGAAGAAAGAAACTAGTGATGTTCATAGAATTTGTTGAGCACCTAAAGTACCAGAACCAGGAAAAATGGCAAGTTTCCAGTAGCAGCTTTGGAGGAATGACCACTTTCCCCTCCATTTCCAAAAGACCAGCCCTCTCACTCCAAAGCAGGTGAGCCTGGTAGATTGGTTAGTTTCTCTCGTCACCCCTCTAAAGGGAGGGCTCAGGAACCAGAGGGCACCACACCTCCTCAGAACCCCACCTGGAGGCATCACTGCCTCCCTGCAGTCTGTCTACCGTCAGTCAAGTCCACAGAGGCCAAGTCAGCCCATCTTTGCTCTTGAAGACCTGGTGACACTAACCTAGTACTGACCAGCTAGCTATTCATGTTGGCTGGACTGGCTAGTTAATGCACGGTGAGCCAGGCGAGGGCATGGTGGAGTGTGTGTGTCTGTGTGTGTGTGTGTGTGTGTGTGTGTGTGTGTGTGTGTATGTTTGATGCTGTGTCCGTGGGCTTTGTTGTCAAAAGCAAACTAAATTTTTGTCATTGTTTAAAATGTTCTATTATGTAAACAGTAGACACAGGGACCATATCCACTCCCGTCATATTATTTGTGATTGTAAAACACACGTTTGCAGTAAGTTAAGCTTTCTGGAAAGGCAAGCAGAGTGGGAGCAAATGACTGTCTTGGAACATGTGTGTATTATCTTGGTTCATATCAAGTCCAAAGCCGGCCAAGAGCCTCCCCTGCCTTCCCTGCTCGGGGGGGAGGGACTCTAGTTTCTCGTCAGTGCTGTGTTTTAAAGTCATGTGAAGTTTTCATCCCCTTTCTGTTGTTCAAGTTGGAAGCAGCCATGTTCTCAAAGATGGTTGGACGTTTTTGCTATTGCTTTATGTTTTCTAAAACGTATCTACTTTATGTTTGGAAATAAAAATCTCTATTTTGGCCTATGAAACATTGTGTGGTTTGGAAGTTCTTTTTCTGAGGTAAAAGGGTTTGTCTGAAGAGATTATAAGGAGAAAGATGCCATGTGGCTAAGGCCGACTCATTGTTAAATTCTGACTTCCGGGCAGAACGGAGGCCCGGTTTATTCAGGGGTTCAACTCAAGGCAATAGTGTCTCTCAATCCAGTGTGAGCGTCAAGTCACCTGGGAAGCATCTTCATAAATTTCGCCAGCATCGCCCCAGACCTCCTGGGTCACAGTCTCAGGGGCGAGGGCAGGCCAAACCTCGCATGTGGAAATTCCAAAATGCGTTCTGAGTAGAGAGATGGCCCCAGGCAGATCCAGGCTGCGGGGAGGTAACAGCAGGCCCGTCTCCCCAGATCAAAACCCCACTGTGATGGTTTGTTTAACAAACTGTTCTTAGGTTTGGGGATCTGGTTTCCCAACGGACAGTGCATTGGAAGCTGCAGAATCGGGGGAAGGGGAGTCCCGTGCCCACGTTCGAGGAAAGGTCTAAGAAACCAGCAAGCGAACCCAGTTAATGAAGGCTCCTAACTAGGGCCCTGGCTTGCCAAGAAAAGGAAAATTTAGGTCCAGAATCTGCTGACAAAGGCACGGATGTTTACTCTTCAGTCTAGAACACGTTCTGTGAGAAGGATTTAAAACAGAAAGGGTCTGCCTCTTGCGTAATTGATTCCCCAAGTTAAAAAAAACCTGCCATTGTTTTAATAATGCCTGTAATACTTTTTCTAATGTGTTATCTTAAGAAAACTTCCTCACCTTTTGGGAGGAGAGAGAGAAGGACACCTCAGGCGAGAAGTGTTGTGTCTGCAATCCCTTACTCCTAAAATGCTGGGATAAGGTAGAACAAGGTTCTAGACTCTGCCTCAGCCTAAGCGGCATCCAGAACTGTGAGTGAGAAAGACTTGGAACTTTCTAGATTCAGGGTCAAGTTCCACTGCACATGCCCTGGAGTTCGACATTGTTGAAATCACTAGCTGAGGGTTTTTTTTTCTTCATCTTAACACACCTTACTTTAAATTTATTTTTTCTTTTTTAAAAACTTTTTATTGAAATATAGTTGATTTACAATGTTGTGTTGGTTTCAGGTGTCTAGCAAAGCGATTCCATTATAATGCATACGTATATACACACACACACACATATATTCTTTTTTAGATTCTTTTCCGTTGTAAGTTATTATAAGATACTGGGTATAGTTCCCTGTGCTGTACATCTGAGTTTTTGCCTTGGTGGAGCAGCTCTGCAGACAAAGATCAAAGGGTCAGACTGCAGCAAGAACAATGTTTGTTTGCTACAAGGAATTTACAGCTGGAAGAAGGGAGTCACCAGGCATCTCAGGACCATTGACTAAAGTCTCAGCGTAATACCACATGCCCTCAAAGAATCCTTGCAGTCAAATGGCCGGGGATACGGAGGCCCCTCCCTCCTAATTAGTTGTCCAAAAAAATAAAACATATCCTCTGAAGGAAGACAGAACTTTGCCTGCTGGGGTCCCTTGCCCCTTAGGTGAATATGGAATTGGTCATGGTGTAGCTGATTTTAAGCTTTAATTCGTATAATGGAATAGTGTGCCGGGCATTGTCTATAGTAACTAAGCACGGTGTACCTGTTTATTTCTACAACGGAGACATCAAATCTTGGGTCAGAAACTTCAAGTGTTAAAACACTGACTCAGTGGGAAAACTAGATTCAGTCTCCTTCGTTTTAATTTCGCACCTTTGGGGGAAATCCAGCCCACTGTGGGGGAATCCAGCCCACTGTGAAAGTTATATTAAACACACATACGGTTTCTAAATCTTTACAGAACTCTCTCTCCTACTCCTGGCTGGGTGATTAACTCATTTTTATGACTATGGATTTTTTTTTTTTTTCACAATCAGGCATGCTATGGAAGTGATTATCTTACCTCTGTTTTCATCTGTGGCTTCCAAGCCCAGCCGTGACATGTTTAATAGGAGAGATTCATCATCTTTTGTGGAAACCCCTTGGTGGGAACGTTACTCAGCTACTTGGCCTTGGCCTTTTCTGTCACTGTCTCGCCAACCCTGGCTCCAGCCGCTCCTGCAGTGACCTTTCTCCACTCTGCTTCCCCTAGTCATGCATCAAGAGGGGCCACATGTTGGGGCTTCTATCGCTGGGATTTGGTATGGCCGTTGCCCTCTGGCATGCATCCTGGTCCCTGCTCCCGGCTTCCACTTGGTCTTCACTGTGGCTTCTGCTGTCAGTTTCTAACAGGAGGGCTCCTCTACCAATGGGCATTAAGGGAGATTGTTCCAAATTGTCCTGCCGCACAGCCCCTCTCACTTGGAGAGTGCATGGTTCCCGTCCTAGAGCATCTGCAAATAATGGAGGTCCTTCTGCTTTGGAATGAGGTGATGGGAAGACAAAAAGTAAACATTTTTAAAAAAGGAAGCCAAATGGAATTTGGTATCCTGGACTGCATCCTAGAACAGAGGACATTGGCCAAAAACCCGATGAAATGTAAATGAAGTCTGCAGCCCTGTTAATAAATCCGTGCCAGGGTTAATTTCTTGGTTTTGACAAATGTCCCATATGGTAACTTGAGATGTGAGTCTTAGAAGGGATCAGGTGGAGGGTGTATGGGAACTTTGTGCTATTTTTGCAATTTTCCTAAAATTACTCCAAAATAGATTTTATTTTTTAAAGTGTAGATTTTTATAGCCTTGGAAAAAAAAAAAAATGAGTGTTCGATTTTGCCCTTAACTTGCCCCCTTAACTTAACTTGCCCTTAACTTAAAATAGGGATGAATCTGTTCTAGGAGCAGGATTGGAGTCAGTCTGATCTATGTTTGGCTCCCAGCAACCGCATCTCCAAGATAATGGACCTTGAGAAAGTTCTTCAATCTTCCTGGATGATTCAAAGGGATGTGGTTGTGAGGATGAATGAGACGGTACTGTAGAGCTTGCACAGGGCTTGGCACAGAAAAAACACAACAGTGGGAGCTATCTATTCAACTCCCATCCCAGCGGCTTCCTCAGTCGTGCTAGGCAGGTTCAGAAGAAGTGTCTTGTTTTAGCCATCTGAACTTGGAGTTTCTAGAATACTTAATTTGATCCCAAAGTACTGCCTTGCAAGCACTGCTAGGGGTTTAGGGTGTCCCCTGTGGGCTCGCAAGTGTCTTGGGGATACTTGTTGGGGGAGATTCTAGAATCAGTCAGGGTTCAGTTGCAGACAACAGAATTCACTCTAACTAGTCTGAGAAAAGGATTTATTATGAGGTATTAGGTGGCTTACAAAATTGTTGGAAAAGATTGAAGCAGTAGGCTGTAGTCTGAGATTCCAGGAGTAACTCTGGCCCTACGGCCACTCTGCCTCGTCCATGAGGGAGAAAGGGGCCCTCACCATGGTAAGAAGCTGCCAGACCAGGAAACTGCCGAGTGAAGAGCCTCATTGTCTCTCATTGTCTCAGCAGCAAAACAAATACCTGATGTCAGGCTGTCTCCTTGGTGCTTCCCTTCCATCCTGAGAGCTGTGCAGGAGAATCTGAGTGGGTGAAATCTAGGTCACATTTGGAATTGGCAGCAAAGGAGTCAGGAAATATCATTTTAGCTTTACCCTTTCTGCATTACAGGAAGACATCTTGCAAGGAGTTTAATGAGTGATGAATGAGCAAAATCCATTCGATGCCCCGCAGTCCACCCCTCTGGAGACTTAATATCTGTGCACACTCCCATTTCCATATCTAAGCTTCCAAATAGAAACCACAGCACAAATAATAAGATCACATTCCATCTAATGGAGCTACCTCTGTACAAACAGGTGCATGCATAGCAACGTGTCACTAGTCAGCTTTTTTATTTCTACACTCTATCAGTTTTCTTCAGTTTCATTCACAGTCTTGGCTTGATGTCCTGAAGTCTGCAAATTAAATTAAAAGTTTAAGCACCCCCATCCCTGCCACCATGCCCACATGGTTCATGAGTGGGCACAGGGGTAGCTGGGGAAAGAGACTGTGTGACGTCCATGGGATGGACTGCCTTGTCCACCTATCAGGAACCTCTTCTGCATGGACAGACTTTTGGTGAAAGTTTCTAGATACCACCCACACTCTTACACCCGAGATCCACTCCTAAAGGGCTCCCCACAAATCTCTTCCTCAAGCCTCTTTGTTATCAATCCCTAATCTTATTCTTTTCAAGCCCTTGATCATCCTTAAGTCAAGTTAAGAATTAAGGAAAGAATATTTAAGGAAAGAATGTTATTGATCTCCTACCAAATATCAGGTATAAATGTGAACAAAACACTAACTTCCTGCCTTCCTGGAGCTTACTTTCTAGTACAGGCTGCTGCCCACCAATCCATGTAAATTTGTACTCCCAGCCACTTCTCCCAGGCAAAATGGACCACAAAAAAGGTGCAGCTGAAACGTGTGTGGGGCTCTCCCTTCCCCACTCTCTTTCATCACCAGCCTTCAGCAGGGTTATAATCCTATAGAACTATACTTCTGGCTGGTTCTATCATATCTTCCAAGGCCAAACTCTTTACTCCAAAGATAACTGGTCATATGGGCCTGCAGGTGAGGCCATAGGGGTGTGGGTTGAGGGAGAGAGGGCTGTGCAGGTGTAGGTGCCCTGGGGTGTGAATCACATGTGCATTAGGCTCATAGGGGGACCAAATTGGACAGTGGGCAAGGACTTTGGGCCTGGGCACTCATCCAGCAACTGGGCAGTGGCATTGGGATCAGACGTTGTGTGATGGATAGGTGGGACAAGCAGCTGGTGGGCTCTTGACCCCTTGAGCACTGCCTCGCCATGGAATTCCTCTCCATTGACTCATCTTGTGCTGCTGAGATGCAGCCCCTCCTCTGAAAACACTCCATGATAGAGTCCCCTACACCAGGGGCCTGACCTCCCAATTCCAGAAGCCAATTTGTGACCATTGTTTTGCACCTTCTCACACAACGCCCAGCCATGTTCTTTGTTCCCTGTTCCCGTCTCTCTTCCACTGGCTCTGACCCTGTTGTCTTTGGTCCAGTTTCTGGTTC